TCGCGTTGGTCTTCCTGAAGTTTCAGATGCTAGTGAAATCCGTCAAGTTTTTGGGCACCGTGGCCGTTACGCTGCCTCTGTTGCTGGCCACGTCGCTGTTCTCTCCGGTGCTCGTGCCGCCGTTACTGTCGAACCCGGCGCGCGTGCTGCAACTGCTGACGGCGCCGGTGCTCGTTCCCGCGGCACCAGACGATCCCGTAACGCGTCCGCCGAGCAATAGCGCGGTGCCGGACGACTCGGGGACACGACAGACCCGAGCCCCGGGCACATGCACGGCCGACCGACCGTGGCGGTTCTCCTCGCCCGCGCTCAATCCTCACCGGTACGACTTTTACGCGGACTCGCCTAACGAACGGCATCACGAGTCGAAACGGCCACGTGATCCTGCCGAGACGGACGAGATGATGGACTCGGAAAAATGCGTGGAAAGGATTGCTTGTCGGATGGCCCTGATCCAACGCATCAGTACCATACCGTTCTGAACGCGTTGGTGAGCGCTACTATTGTTATTTATCATACGCGTCGCGATCGCAACTTTTACGCCGTAATAATAACGGGCGGTTTTATTTTAAAACGCGACACTTGTTTTAAAAAAAAAAAAATACGATTTTATTCGGATTTGGTGTGAACACAAAATTTGTGTTCGCAGAAATGTTTTGAAATCATATAAAATAAAATTTCAAAATCGTATAAATTAAACATTGGAAAAACTAATGTTACCCGAATGGTATGGAAATAAAACTACAGAAGCTATTTTTTTTAAAAAAAAAACTGTCGCAAGTTTTGTTTTTCATGCTTAAGTCATTTTCACCGTATGTGAATGCATTTTTTTTAAAACTAGTATTTCTGTGAAATAAAAAAATAAAAATATTCCAGCATGGAATAAAATACTTGCAAAAACCAATTCTTAAATTTCTAAAATTCATTATGGATTTATTATATATATTTATATATATATATATAATAAAAGTTGTATGCCGAAAACTTCAAGTTCGAAACCATCTATCGGCGGTGCATGCTCGTGGTGTCCAGCCCCGAACCATTTGTCGATTATACGTAATGCTCTCCAGCGCAGTTATCGGAGCCCTTAACTAGTATCGTCGGGTCAAAAAAGACCCATAACATTTTATTTTTAATTTTTCTTCAATAGATCGCACTTTTTTTACTATAGAATGCATTGTATTTTATCACAATGCTACAAACAACATATTACATCTTTTGTTATTAACAATTATTACATATTTCGCATTCAAATAGCTATTTATAGTGGTTTCAGCTTATAATAGACCCAATAATACCAGTTACGTAGATTTTTTCTCATATTTTGCTATTACAAAAAACGACGAAGGTGTTACGTCTATTCAAGTTCTAATGATACGAAGTGTTCAAAGGTTGGTTCTGTTTGCTAAAAACCGTTTGTAAAATGCGTGGCGTTCAATTGTCGACGTGTGTTAATTGTTTGGATACAGAGTAACTAAACATTTTTATTTTTATTATTTTATATTGTAAAGAACTTTCCAAAAATATTTGATTTTTTTTATTTGAATTTCATTAATTAACTAAATTAAATGTTTAATATTTGAGTGATATTTTAAATATATTTATACAGAAAAGTCGTCTTAAATAATAACCTAATACATAAGCTTTTAAACTTGTTTTTAGTTATTGGTTAAAAAAATGTCCTAAGAGGTATAATAAGTGTTTGTAATTTTTTAGAAATAAATGTTTTAAGATCTAAATTTTATTTTGTTTTGTTGTTATTATATCTAAACTTAACTAAAAACCAATGGGTAGTTCAATTATGATTGTAAATATATATTTTTTTTTAATAATTTTTTCAAACATTTATAAATAATCATTTAAAATTACAAGATAAAAAATAAATTGGATAAAACACTTATATTTGATAAAAAAAATATGTGTTATTGAATGAAAAATATTAATTTCAATATATAGAATATAATAAAAACAAAAAAAAAAAAAATTGTTTGTTTAACTTATAAGAAGTTCAAATGTCTAGTAATTTTTGATCCGACAGTACCAGTTACGTGAATAAAAATAAGGATACCAGTTAAGAGGTAGCGATTGGTGTTTGACGTGTAGCGTGATGGTTAACGCGCTCTACACGTGATAACTTGTCTCGTTACAGTATACCAATGTTCGAAATGCATGAACTTAAAAAAACCATTTTAATAGATATTTGGATTTGAACTACTTTACACTTATTTCTGAAATCAATAATTATTTATTTTTGATTTAGAATAATTAATGGACTATTAGAAGTCATTCCGAATGAAAAACTGGAGTTATACTTCAAAACATACAATGAAGTAAATAACACTATCAAAACAAATATATCTACTTCAAATAATTGGGTTATTTGGTGCTTGGAACATTATAACAGCAATGATACAAATTTGACTACTGTAAAAAATAATTATTTGAAAATGTATATAGGTATATTGTTATCAGAAATATAATTTAACATTTTTATAATTATTCAATTGTATGCTCTGTCTGTGTTCACAATAAATATTTTAATATTTCTTTTGTATTCTTTATTAAGTGGGAAAACAGTCACCGAAAAAATTGGATTGATTGTTCTGTTATATTTGTTAAATTATAGTTAGGTAGTAGTACACGACTATTAAAGTCTCCTAAAAGAATAAAAAAGTCATACATTTGATTTGACATTAAATATTTTAAATAAAATGAATTTTATCATTAATGATACTTCATATATTTCAGATAGTATTGTAATCAGATAAATTTATATAGTATAATAAAATCTTAAAGTTTTTATTGAAACTAGAATGAAATTTAGTTTAAATATAACTTTTTATATGGAGTTTCGCACTATAAATATAGCTTTTAACAATTATCAAAACTCCACTACCAATTAATTTGCATTATTCGTATGATTTGATCCATTTTACTAAGTTGGTTATGTTTATATTGAAAATAATCACAACCAATATTTGTTGCTCGCAGCTATAAATAAGACTAACCACAAATTTCTCACTTTAATTTTGATTTAAGTTAAAAAAATTAAAATTGTATACATTTTTATAATATATAGCAAAAAATTGTAAGGATTATTATATATAAGTTTAAGTTTTCTTAAGTTTTGCTTGATTGAAGTTGTCAAATGACAGATCGTAGTAAAAACAAAAAGTATTTGTTTGTCTTATTTTCGGTGTTTTTGTATTTGATATATTTGTTGTCTCTATTTAAGTCTTAGTTCTGGAATTCTTTTTATTTTATTTGGTTGTTAATAGGTAGATTTGAATTGTATTTATGTTTAAGCTTCTTATAATATTTTGCTTTTTACTATCTTATGTTGATCTGTTTAGTATTCTACTTTTTTTATGAGTTTGATAGATATTTTTTTGATGGATTGTTCTTTTTATGTTGTTAATTATATTTATTGTCTTTTTTAATGATTGGTATTGATTTTTCAAATCTTTGGTACATACAATTTAAATCATTGATTATAAATAATAATATTTATATTAATGGTTAAAGAAGAAATGTAGTAAATGTAGTACGTCACTAGATAGCATCATACTCCCAAACGTACGTACCATACAACATTGTAACCGGTAGTCAAGAGTGACCAGTCATATGTAGTTCGTGCTTATTCTAGTAGTTTCCATACCTAATGTAGTATACAAGTCTGATAAAGATTTAGAAGCATATGAAAAAGTAGAAAAAAAAAATACTGACTGTTTTATTAAAAAATCACCTAGAAGGATTCAAGTTGTAGATTAGAGTAATTGTACATAATAATACCTAATATTAAAAATATTTACTTATATTTATTAAATTATTGTCAATATAAATGAAAATTTTTTAGGCATATATTTTATTTATTTCAGTAGGATATATTTAGTATTATAATGTATATATATAAATTTTATATATTATGTGAAATAGGTATACGAGTTATCTCTATTTTTTTATTTTTTTTTTTTTTTAGTGAAAATAAAACAAATTTATTTTTTATAAAAAATTTTTATTGCCCCTTCCTTTTAGAAATCATGACTATAACTAAGAGTACATGGGATGGGGGGTAACCCTTCATCTCTAAACCTGTGTTACATGCAAATGGCCATGCCCTTCAGGTGGCCGGCGTTACCTTTAATATATTTCAAAAAGAACAACTATCACTTGTAATAAGATATGTTTTTAATATAAAAATGTATGAGAAATTAGTGGCATTAGTTGAATCATCTTCCACAACTGAAAAAGTGTTTTTTGATATCTTTAAAAATGTAATGAGTGTATAGAACTTGAATTAGATAAATGAACAAGTTGAATAATCCTATGATGGGGCCTTTAACATAAAATAAGTTTACACTGAACTCCAAGCACGAATTTCTGAAGAGTATCTGGAAGCTTTTTATATATGTCATGTACATTGCGCATATCATGCTCAGTCATGTTAGCAGTCGTTTCATGTAAAAAATCCATACATTTATTTGGTAATATGAACTTTTATCAGCTGTTGTAAAAAAAGGTCTGAAATTTATAAAAATATACAAAAATCATTATATCCTAAGACAACAACATTTGATGCTATCGAGTATTCTAACAGTTCTAAGTATAATAGATGAGTTATCATGTATTTTAAACGTTGCTACCAAATTTTTTGGTGTTAGCCATAAGAGTTTTGATAAAAAAAATACTTGTAATATTACAACCGTTGTTTTTTTTTTTTTTTTTTTTACCAAATTTTTATCAATAATATCCGTTATTGTTCTTAATATATTAGATTAACCATAATATTATTATACTAATATCTATCACTTATATTTATATACACGAATCAAAAAATAAACAAATTATTGAATATAATATTATTATATGTTACGCATTCGTTGTATATGTTTGAATATTTATATAATTTCAACAATGAACCAATGAACCAACAATGCATTTAATTATAGGATAGTTGCATTGTTGCTTGTAGTATTCAATTTCGTTCAAGATCGTATGCTAACATTGCATTTCAATATTTATAAAAGTATTCATACCAAAATTACATTAAATGTATACCAAACTACCGATATCAGTTAATTGGGCGAAACGGTGATTGCATACAAATACATTACGTGAGTGCGATTATTATACCGACACAACGGATGTACGAAATAATAGATTTCGATCGATATATTTTTATTATTTGTTTTTTAACACTATAAGATTGATTAACAAAAAAAAGAAAGAAAGAAATTACAACATTTAATGCAATATAAATACAAACTCAGTTATTTTGGTCATTGATATTTCAACACAACTTTTCTGCAAAAAATATTAACGTTCTAGATAGAAACAATGGTTATATATTGATAAGAATCTGTTATATACATACACATCATGATTCTTAGCACCATAAATGCTAAAGTGTACATTAGGAAGTTTTTCCGATGATGTCATATTATCGCCGTAGTTTTCTGATTTTCCGTGCAAAGTAACTACAGTAATTGGGTCTGATGGACTTTCGATTTCCAATTTTTGCTTTGATGTTCTTTTAGACTCAATGTATCTTTTATCCTTTTCTCTAAAAGAAAAAACTGATTTTACTTTAATTTCTTAACTATGTACGATGAAAAAATCATTTAGGTTATCTATACCTAAAACGCTTTAACAACATTTTATCATAGTTGTCGATCATTGGGGATTCGACTATTTCACACTGTGATTCTGATTCATCGATATTATGATTTTTATTATGTTGTTGTTCTGCAAAATAGCTGCTTACCTTAAGTCGTAATACATAAAAATTCATATGTAAATAATTGCAATTTTAATTTAGTTCAATCGCATTTTACACTCGCATACGTCGACTAGGTCTTACAAACATACAACATAGAAAATCTGCGTTCGGTAGAACTAATTTATGTTTAATATTATTTTAGTTTTTGTAAGTAACCTATTTTCTAACGTAAATAAAAGAATATAATCCATCTCTTTTCGTAGGTTTTTTACAACATTTTTATTTTCAAACCAGTTTTAAGCTTTTTTAAATTGTAATATTTTACATAATCATAATTAGTTTAAAAATTAATATCTACAAAAAGGACTTGATAATGTTCTTCGCTTTAAGTGCAATCATTAGTCAGTATACTCAAAAATTAAAGTTAACAAAATAAATTAGTTCTACTGAACGCAAATTTGCTATGTTGTACGTTTGTAAAACAAAGACAACATATTCGAGAGTGAGAACTTACTTCTGCATCATTATCTGTACACTTATTAGAAGCGCTAGAAACATCTGGATTACAGTCACGCACAAAAACATTTTTTTTTTCGTTTTTCCACTTCATAATCGCCTCTTTTTGTTTTGCTCTAAGATCTTCGAATTTTAAGAACCAATTTTCGTGTTCGCGAGCTGCATCCTCAGTAATATCTATAGTTGTAATAGAGGTTATTGTGAAATTGTTCATAATTTCAACTAATATTGATAGAAAATATAAATTCATGAATGCAGATTATTTTATTTAATTACATTTCATATGTTTTAACATGTGTTATATCATTCGTATTATAACAAATATGATGATATTTTAACACAAAGTACAGTTGTTTAATAATATAAATTCCAATTAAATTCCTGTACCACTTAACTAATCTGTAACTGACTTTATTTTGAAAAATAAATAAATTAATAATAATTTTAATACTAATTTTAACATGCTTTACTGATGTTTTTCTTTCATGGCGATATAAATTTAAGAATAGTATTTTTTCTGAAGTACCTTTCTAAGAATAATTTGAAATAAATTAAAATACAACTACCCGATAATTTGACATCAGAAAAAAAATATCACCATAAATTCAAAACACTCGTTTTTCAAATTCACTAAAATTACACGGCCAACATAAATGTGCAAACAAAAATAAGAATTTATACTCTATGGATTTTAAGCCTATCGATTTTTCCAACCGACAATGTTTATAGATATTTTTTACAAATTTTTAAATATAAGTAATTATTCATAAAATATTACGTGGCATGGCTTGAACGACATGACCGATAAAGTTTTCACCGTCTACGTGCTTAGAACGAATCTTTAAAAACATCTCGTGATCTTTACTAGTCCAGCCTCCGGTCAAACCATAGTTTCGATCACAGAAATCGTGAAAATCCGCTATCTCCTAAACAAAATTTACATTTTATGAGCTTATGGTAATTGTTTCCTTGTTATGCACACTGTGTATGTTGTACTTTTGAGGAATACGTATTTTTAGATATGGGAACTCGTTTGATGGGTTTTATGTCCTTCTTTTTTTTGTAATTAGTTACATCTTTTGGCTTTAAAATAGCATCGTGCAATGCCAATTGTTTCACTCGTTCAATTTCTTCAAATAAGCCTGATTGCTTTAAACTCTCTTCGCGTAATCTTTTTTAAAAAGAAAAAACCCAATATCTCTTAATACTTTGTAAAACACAAATATATTCATTGCACGTACAAATTACAGTTGAGTTCCACTCACTTTTTCAAACTTCCTTCTTTTAATTTTGACAGCTTAGACTCAAATGTCTTAATGTCCCTTCGAAAATTTTCGAACCCTAAAATAAATTTTCTTAATAAATAATTATAACACTAATAAAATAATCTTGCAATTGATATTCAATGCGAGGAAGGATACCATTTCTTAATGTTTCGATTATTGTTTGGTATAAAATTAAATTATAATGTTCTATACGAAAACAACTACATTACAACGTATTCAGACTATACATATAATTTCAAGCTACTATATTTATATTATTATTCGTAAACAAATCGTTAGATAATGGTACACTAATTTATTTATTTATATTAATTTAAACGGTCTGAATACCAATACATGTTATATACATAAATTTAATAATAAATGAAAAACAAAAACAGTAAAAGTGAAGAAAAATTTTTAAAAAAATTATAATAATAAAATTACTTAATAGAATTAAAATTAAATAAAGCAATTTGGATAAAATTAGCTAATCTAGTGGATCTAATTAAAAGATAATTTATAATATAATTAGCTTTGTGAAGCTTTGTATGAAAAGTGTAAGTAGATTCTCGTTGAAGGACATGTAAATATATACATTTTAGCAACTCTGAGCAGTCATCTAGCCATTTATCAATTTAAACAAGAATTTTAAATCATATAAATTTCTCCTAGAAACATTGCTATTCATATTTAGTATCTCTAATAATTACTTACAATGTGAATTAGGTTGAAGTAGGATATTACATTTATGGAATATAAAATGAATAAATCGATTTTGTATAATTTCAAGCCACTATTTAAGAATATTATCAAAGGGTAACTAAACTATAGAATTATATTTAGGTGTATAACATGAAAATAAAAAATTTAATATTTTTAAGGCAATAGGGATTGAAAAATATATTATATAACGATATTAATGTATTTTTAATACATTTTAATAGTAGAAATAAATATATATTTATTTATTTATTTTATTAATAAATTAAATATATTATTATTATTATTAAAATAATAAATAATAAATAATAATAAATACATTTTAATAGTAGAAATAAATATATATTTAATGAAGATATTCAATAAGTCTTTATAATTGAAGTCAAATAGTAAATCATTATCATCATCATGTGGTAAAGCCTAAATGAAATACAATAAATTTTTAAAAAATGTCTAAATTTACTAATAAATATTTAATAACCATTACTCGATTAAAAATGTATTCTTTGGTGATTATTGCGTACATTTAAATTTTATTTCTAGAACAAACACCATTAGAATATTTAATAGATTTAGAAGCTTTAAATTTTGTTACAATTCATTATAAGTTATATGTTACTACGATTCGTTAATAATTTCCATCAATCTAATTTCTTATGTATAATCCTCATGGATTAAACTTTTAATAAACTTTTACTACTCGTACCCTACAAACGTCGATCATAAAACACTGCATTGTTTGACTGTTATTATCAACCTATTGTTATCATGTAAATGAGAAACAAAACAATGCTTGTTCTACAATACTATTCGTTATTTTCAGTTTCTAAGTTATATAATAAATCGATAAAACAATAATAAAACAAAAACTTTTATCACTTAAATGAAAATACTCGAAACATGAAGCATATGCACGTCTATGAAATAGTATTTTATGTATAGTAGTATTGCTTTATAGTAATATCAAAATAATCGTACAAAAATAGATTTCATTATTCGTCTGAGCCTCCATGTACCATACAGACGTAAGAAAATTGAAAAACAGCGATAACCACTGGTTATTGCCAAACCATGGTTGTTGTATTGTTAAATTTTTCACACATATACGATCTATCGTGAGCTGCATATCTTACATAAATTAATTCCAATTTTCCGAAAGACTAATGCGAATTATTTATATCATAGTTATTATACATAAACATAACATACATTTTTGTATAGCAACTGAATTTTTACGCAATATTATGTATACATGTGTATAGAATTCTATAAAAATTGTTTGTTAGTTTCATAATGTTTTATAATAAAATACCCGAGGTATATTATGATAATATTAAGTAAAGTTTATTTTAATATTAAAAATTACCAATATACATGCTTAATATTTTAAAATATTTTACTCTTTATTAATTTTTTATATTGAAAACTGGGAAACTGGAAGTTCCCAAGTAAAAATTCAGGGCGACAATTAACTAACAATTAGGTAATCAACAATAGTATTCTTTTGTCAATAAATATATTATACCGATAAAGTGTTTAAATTGAATTTTCAATATATCTAGTATACACGAGGATCTTTACTAATGAACAAATTTTTTACAGTACCATTAATTTTATAGTTCACTAATCGTAGTATACATTATAATTTAACTTTACAGTATAAGTTTTTAAAATGTCCTAATGAAATTTTACTTTTTAGTAAAATCTTATAAAAAAACCTTTAAACAATAAAATTTGCTAAGCCGAAAACCACAAAAAAAATAAAAATAAATATATACGTTCAACTGAATAAAGATTCGATAGTTTCAATAAAACAAACAAATTAACTGTGCAACACACATCCACATACCAACGGTTTTGATCTTATTCACATCTGAAGCTGTTTTTTTTAAATAGAACAGTTTTTTTTTCATTTCTTGTACTGAACTCGCCAGCTGATTCAAATCGGCGTGCCTAGAAGAATCGAATACGATATTATTTGCATGCATAGTACATACTACAGTAATTAACAAAAATAATTAATTTTGATGCATTTTAGTTTCTTTAATTACGTATCCTAAATAGTTTTATTTTAAATATAAATTTATTTTCACTAAATGATCCCATAGTACATATATTTAAACAATGTACATTTGTTTTGCATATTTAAGTAGTTTTATCCTCTTTATTTATTTTAGTAAATATTTGTGTGTTTTCAGCGCGAGTTTTTGTTGTTTATCGCGTATTTTAATTGATTCATAATAACGGTACACTATGGAAATAAATCTATTACTATAAATTACGATACGAGTATATCAAGAATAAAAACTGTACACAGCTTATTGTGTTTGGATAGATTTTACGTAATCCATAAACGATCGGTGACGATACAACTTCGACCGATCTTCGCTGTATAAACTAAAATTTTATCTAATGAAAAAAATTTTGTTTTTAATTTTCTAAAATTAAAAATAATTTCTAATTTATACGAATTCGTTTTGTTCGTGATGCTTTCGTATTATTTACCTACAGTTTTCGGTTGAACAAAACCGAAATAAATGCATAAATGTTTAAAATTAGATTTCGATGGACGTTGATAAAAATTATTTGCTTGCAGACTCGACCGTTCGAAAACTCGTACGCGTTACGGCAGTCGCGCGGAATAGCAACAGAACGACTGGATGAGACACGATGATCGAACGAGTTGATCGTTAGACGGTACCGCGAGATCAGTGGCGTATTTAAGTTTTTGTCATAGGGAGGGGGATATATATCTTTATACAGTAATTACAAACTCAACCCTCATTTCCGGGAATTATAATAGCTTATTAATATTAAATATACAATCTATATTTGAGTATGTTGCTAAAATTATAATATATAACACGTTACTTGAGACTAAATATTTTATTTGCATGTATACTGCCTATGGGGGAGGATTGATCCCCTTGATCCCCCCCTGTAAATACGCCACTGCGCGAGATCACCTCGACGACGAACAGACCGCGTTCTCGGTCGGTTTTTACCGCGTGGCTCACCTGGCGGAGTCCAGTTCTTGTTTGTACTTCAACATCTCCCGGGACGAGGACCACACATTGGGCTTCAGATGGTTCTTCAAGATCTGCCAGTGGACCGCGTCCACCGCGCGGTCGTCGGACCAAGACATGACCACCGCAGCTGCTGCAGTCTTGCCCCGTCCGCGTGCCGTCGGAACGAAACGGAACACACCACTAGCAGAATCCGACGACGAGTGTTGGACGAGTAGGTCTCGGCCCTATCGTTATTATTGCGATTGAAATATATTTGTTTATTTTTTGTTTTCTCTGCCGTCGAACACAAACACACCGCACTCGTGACACCTGCCGCCGGTAACGGTTGCCGGGCAACGTGCTCGAGGCCTCCAAAACAATACATGCTCCCTGACCGATCCGCGTAAAGGGAACCACTTCGTTTGCGTACCCATCATTGCCATCGGCATATAATTTGTACATTTATTACGTACGTACATAAATCGTTTTCGATTCATTCGGGGTTGTACGCTGTACACACACGCGCGCGCACAACGGTTATTGTAGCTGACACGGTTTCGTAAGTGGGTACTGCGGAGAGTACATATAAAATCTACGTACCGCTTTGTGCCATGTCAAAAGTGCAAACACCACATTATTAGGGTTAACCGGTAGGTGAATATATTCAGTTTTTCATTTCATTTTAAACAATCAGATTTTCGATGTTCATTATTTTCGAAACAACATTTTATAATTTCGTATTTATTATTATTATTGAAAAAAAAAATAATTTATTATTTATGATGGAACAACCTTTCCGATTTTAGATGGTTACTTTAATACCTAGATAAACCTGTTAATCAGAAAGTGTCGGTATATTTTATCAATCTACCTAGGGCCGAATTTAGGGGGGACACTGGCTACTGTCCCGGCGCCAGTTTTTTAGGGGGCCAAAATGTTGTGGTCGGAAATTTGCTCACTTGTGAATTATTGAACTTTTAAAATTATTTTTAAATTATTTTTTTTTTTATAACAGTATCATAATTTAATATTAGTGTATTTAATTTATTAATATATATTATCAATGTATTTTATAGCAATATAGTTATATAAATATCAGCGATCCAGAATATTATTAATATACCTAATATCAGTTCCCAAATTTGTTGTAATGTCAATAAACATAAGTTATTTATAATAATGCAGCATATTATGTTACCGCGTGCGGCGTGGGTGGCGTTCCTACTACACAAAAATAGGTAGTATTGTTTTTAGAATATCTAAAAGGTTCATGAGGATCTATCCTATATTTTCCGTGGGTAGGCTCCTTAGAGGTGCGCTATTTTTTACCGTTTGTATGAAAGCCACTTACCAAGTTAATTGTTAAATCTTCTAGTCTACGGGACTACTGCTAAAATAATAAATAAAATCGTAGTTTCGTTTGTAATATAAGTCAATTGAAGCCCAAGAAAGTGATGCTCACTTGGATTAATGTATGTTATTACTTATTACACGCATTATGTTTATTCTTATGAACTGGACATTTTTACATTTTTTTCATATTGATTATGTTTCCTTGGTATTCAATTGTTTGCTCGTTGTATTCATGACCGAATCAATTAGTTACACTATTTGTACTACAAACTACACAATTAATTTAAATTAGTATTTTAACAAATCATCTTATAGGCGTGAACACGGAAAACCAGATAAACTTCGTAAAAACTTTTAAGCTATTTCGTTATCGGTCAATCCTTCAACCACTATGGAAAGTTTAAAACACAACAAAATATGCAACAATGTTTGTCCACCATTAAAGAAACAGGTTTGCAAATCAGAAAAACCGAACATTAAAGTGTCTAATCATCAAAAGTTCGAAATAAAAGTTCCACCGGTATTCAACAGTGGACACATTGGAAGTAATCTTTTGAAAACAGATACTTCTCCGAACGTTCCGCTTTGTCATGCAATACTGAACCTGTACAATCCATTAAACGATCCGCATTTAAAAGTCTGGCTTAGTTCGCCAAAAAAACAAAAATTTCTATACAAACAAGGACTTATTTCCTCAGACAATAAAGTCATTAGTAACATAAAAGATTACAGTGATCGTCAACAATGTTTAAAACGCAGAGATAATTATTTAATGAATCTACAGCGAAAACGCGATGAAAACCAAAAAAAAGAGCAAATACAAGTATTCAAAGCTGATCTCAATAATAAAAAAGAAATAGCAAGGAAATTGAAAGCTCTGAAGAACATCTTTTTAGAAGATAAGTTACAAAAAGTGAGTGCACATCTGCTTTATACCATTGTTATTACTTATAATTAAATTACAATAATTATCATCAGTGGCGTATACAAGGGGGGTGTTTGGTAGATATGACACCCCCCTTGAGCCCTATCATATATTACATTATTATAGGAATTTAGGTAAATCGATAATATAATATGAAATATAAAATAATACACAATACTAATTACATATATACAGGTTAACATTATCGCGATTGCGACAATACGTGACGAAAATTATTCGTTTACGTTTTCTTGCAACACAAAACGTTTAATAATAATAGGTATTGTAGCATCGAATACTAATATTCGAATAGTCAAATATTCGAATAATTTATGGTAAAGCTATCCAAATTCGAATATACATTACATCTCTAATACAGACATTATGTATACATATTAATTAATTAAAATAAAAGTTTTAGTTTTTACGTATTATATATAATACTAGCTGAATTACCCGTCGTTGCCGGGTTTAAGTATATAAATGTATGTAACCTGCCAAGATTAAATTTTATTAAATCTATTGAAATTTAAATTAATTAAGATTTTTGAAATAATATTTTATACATATTAATTTAGTTATTATCATAACCTATTCGATAAGTTATAGCTTACAACTACCTGAACCTCTCTACAGTTTGGTATTCTGTTGAATACATATAGCATCTCACTTCTCCGAATATTTTACCTTTTGTCAATAAATTCATGGTCTTTTTGACTTTTAACCGAAACACTCTTGCAATTATATCATGTCGATCATATGATCTTTGACCGGGAAGTAAGAGCTCTTTTATCTCATCCCAGCGAGGATTACATGTAAAAGTAATAAAAAGGTCAGGACGACCGTAATGTCTAACATAGGTCATAGCATCTTGTGTTCTTTCGTGCATGTACCTTGGCCCATCAGTAAAAGTTGACGGGAGTATAACCATTTGGCCTAACTGATTAGCTTCTATGTCTCGTCATCCAATCGCTTCTTTTAAATGAATATAACTATCTGCACGCAATTTGGCTTGGTTGTTTTTGATGTAATTTAGTCTTTCAGTTTCAATTTTGGCGTATTCATCTACCAAATATTGACTGAAAAGAGAACGATAATTAACTAAATAGTTGTCTTCCCCTTCTCTGACCATTATTCTATATCAGTAAAAACTTGATGCAGAGACAGTTTTTTTAAGCGGTAACTTGGTTTTTGGATCGCGTTGTGGTATATTGATTGCATACCCATCATCCCCCCAATCCCCCCAACAAAACATTAAAGGATACTGCAGTGTGTCGTATGCTCGATGTATCTCACTGATACGGTGAAGTAAGTTACTTCGGTTTTCAAGGATGATGTCTTTTCGATCAAACTGCTGATCTACTAACACTAAAGCAACTTCATTTGCCGTTGGTGCATTATACCTGTGTCTATGTTCTTCTGGTGGTTTTTTATCTGCATGTATTACAACTTTAAATGACTCAATGATCAATTGTAAATTATGCGGTGGCATGCCTAGTAAATCCAATGAGTTTAAAAACTCTGTTGAATAATTTACAACTTCAGTAGCATCGCAAACTGTATCTAGATTTGTATGACACCAAGTTTTCTGGTAACAAATTTTGTATCTTGAGATTCAATTCGTTGACCTCCACATTTTTTGCTACTAAAATTGCTCTTTCTGCCAGCCACTCATGATTTGTGTATTGTCTGTGTACACTGGGACATCTTGCGAATAAATGATTGTACAGAAATCGTTCGGTAATTTTATACATCCCGTTTCATCTGTAGTAACTTTCCCATCTCCAATATCTAACAATTGTTTTGAGAATCTTTTGCACGCAGCTTTTTTTGATTGAATCGAAATCGAAGTATCGAAATCGTTCGCTATCTATCTTTATATATATATTTCGACCATGAATTATTGACAAAGCATCGTAAAATAACTTAGTCGCGTCTAATCATCAACCAATATGCATAATAATTTTTTGAACTAACATTTTTATTTCTTTTGGCACCTGTTGCGGGATCTTTTTGTTTAATATTTATGCAATACCCGTCATTTACTACCAAAAATAAAATTAATAGTTTTTGAATAGTTTTTAATAGTTTTATTTAATATAATTCATTTTCAATAGCGCAGTTATCGACCTGGTCAAAAAATATTAAACCGATTTCAACCCTTTAAATTCAAAATTTCGAAAAATCCTTTCTTAGCGCACGTCTACATCATAATAGCTATCTGTATGTTAAATTTCAGCCAGATTCGTCCAATGGTTTGAGCTGTGCGTTGATAGCAGTCAATCAGCTTACTGTTTTATATATACAGATTTAATAATTATAATTAACACCCCCCTTCAGAAAATCCTAGATACGCCACTGATTATCATTATAATATACTTCGATTGTGTTCTTTTTCCATCTAAAATATATTTTGACATCGAAATAGTAATTTATCTAATTTAAAATAACATGATATCTATTGAGTGTGACCAGGTAATTAAATTAGTAGTAATTTATATAACTACTAGCTGAACCCGTGCACTTCGTAACCCTTATATAGGATTCGCCCGTGTGCAGTTATTGCTTTCTCTAAATGCAATTCTTAAATCAGATGTTTATTATTTACCTTCTTTCTTTTTTCGATCCCCTAGCAACAAACGAATATAATACATATATGACGTCATCAAATTAGTCGCAAACTAAAATCTCTCTGAAATCGTAATTTATCGACAATAGTGGAATTTTCTTTCATATCTACGTTTGTACGTTCAGAGCGCATCCAACGATGTAGCATACATCAATATAATATCAATAAAAAAAAAATTTCAAATATGACGTGCGTGCGTGATTAATATTGTACACTTAAGAGGCCATAACTCCGGAACATATCGCACTGCGTACAAATTTCACAGAAACCATCTACATATTAATCTTAATATGCCCTAAAATTTTTATCGAAATCGGTTCGGTGGATCTTGAGCTATAAAATGTATTCAAAATGTACATCGATTTTTATATATATAGATTAATAAATAATTGATGATGCACAGAAAAGAAAATTACTATTGATCACTGATTTAAGAAAAAAACTGATATTTTTTTTTATAAATAGTTTCGTTACTATAAAAATGTTATTACAGAAATTCTCAAGGAATATATTCTATTATAATTGATACTTAGATTTAAATCCATTAACTTTTGTGTCATATATATTGATCGGCATCTAAACTGGGCTACAACTCGATTGCGTACATTTACCTTTTTTACAACTGGTTTGCGCAAAAATATACCTCGATTGTGTACATTAGTGCTCTGCATGTTTCGGTCTTAATCAGTCTAGTCTGGACCAGACTAACATACAAATACGGTCCTAACATACAAAAACTATTGAATCATCGGTTTGGTTCGGTTCAATAATGTTTAAGAGTAGTTCGGTCCAGTTCTCAAATTAAATGTATTATTTTCAGTCCGGTCCGGTTTCAAAAAAAAAAATATGAAAATCAGTCCGGTTCCAATCACGATACTTAAAATCTAAATACAGATATTATTATGTAAACAAATGAAACGAAAAAAAACTTACAACTTTAGGTATAAATTTATTTATGAAGTCGGGTAGTCCAGTCTAGTGTAATACTGAATGCATCATATGATACGGTCTGGGCTAATACAGAAAGAACCTTACGGACCTGTCCATAAACGGTCCAAAATGTTTTAAGGTCGGACCGACAGTCCGGTTCACGATCCACTATATTAAATGTTATTTAATTACTGGTCCGGTTTGGTCTAAAAATTATATGAAGCCGTCGGTTCGGTCCAATTTTGGTCTTTGATTAACGTTTAAGTGTGGTCCGGTCCGACTTCGGTCCCCTGGTAAAATTTTAAGTCTTTTACTTATTATCGTTGATTATAATCAGGGCTCATAACTTATAGCTCTAAAAAAAGTAGTTATAAGCGCTATAATATGCTCTTAAAAATATTCATATAAGCGCTTAAATATGCACTAAAAAATACAAAAAATATTAAAAAATATATCATGTAAAAACACAATTTTCATTTTTTATTAAAAATACATATCATGTATAAAAAAAAAATATGTAAATGCTATAAGTTATAAGATCTGATTATTGTACTCCTCATGATTATGAGAATTGGTTACTTTTATTATTTTGTTTGATTTATTAACAATAAATATTAACACTCGCAGTGCATTATTTATTAGTACATCTAAAATTTGAACATCCACTCATTAAAATACGATATTCACCAAATTTATAATTATCAATATTAAATTATGAAACTAAAATATTAAATTAAATTAATCAATAAACATCGTTTTCCTTGCTGAGATTTAAAAATATTAAAAATGTCTACGTCCATATTAAAGTTTACGTCCTCAAAACATTAGTCGCCGCTGTACCACCCATACCTACTGAGACTATACTAAAAGTTGTTTGGAAAATCCAAAGTTATATAATCTACAGTTTACACAATCGATTATAAGATAATAATAAGATAATATATTGATAATTTGTACTGCAGTCTGTGACGTCGTCAGTGGCGACGCGAAATAATTTACTCCATGAGTCCTGTTAAGATTTTGAACACCCACCCACCCGCCTAAAAAGAAATTTAAGGGTAGCTTGTAAAAAGAGCTACCCCACTATTCGTACTACATGCTACATACTCGCCATACATACCCCACTCGATACCCAATGGTCAATAACCACCCACTGACTTGAGTCCAGGGACTCAAAAATCTGCTGTCATGCCGTCACAGTCACAGTGACGATATATGTATACACGTGTCATGTGTGTAAATGTATCGTTGTGCGCAAACGAATTATCTATTTTCAGGTAAAAAATTATGAATGTGTGCAAACGAATTGCAGCGTCTCCATTGTGACCATGTCCAAACATTTTACCCTAATAGGTTCTATGTGTATATTATGCTATACATGTATCTATGTTTTTTTATAGTTCCTAGGCTGTAAGGTTTATTTTTAATAGTTAAGATTTAATAGTTATTTCCGACGACTCCAAATACCGCACACTTTTTTAAATTCTTGTAACCGAAAACCGCACATTTTATAATGATATATAATTTATTATTTATACTATATATTTATTCAAAAACAATTTATTGAGGCACAATGTATAAAGGTATTGAAAAATTTAAACTATAAAATTTAAAAAAACATATGAAAATGTTTGTGGTTAAAATTTTTTGCCGAAAATTTTTAAAAATTAAAATACAAATAAAAAAAAATTGCTTCCTTTATTACTTCTATTTATTATTACTACTTTATTACTATCTTCTTCTTCTTCTTCTTTTTCTTAGGGCTTATTTAGCCTTTAAGACCATCCCGTCTCACAACCTTTATTACTAGGTATCAATAGTTTTAAAATCCATTTATAAAAAACATTTTTTTTCATAATAAATATATATGACATTGTATATATAATTATAATAACTTTACGTTATTCCACGCGTTTCCGTCGACAAATGCACTGGTTATTTTTCAAACACATCAACATGCGATAAGATAAGCTTTTGAATGTAACAATTAACTTTAAAATTATATATACAACATTATATTTCTATATAAAATACATTATATAGTGAGGTTTTTACCCACTATAAGTGTGCGGTTTTTGTCTACCAACCTTTTTGGGGTTAAAATAAAATGTGTGTGGTTTTTGAATGCAACCGTTATTTCATGTTGATTTATTCGTAATTCCCTCCCCCCGTTGCTTATTAATCATTATTATCTATTTTTATTAAGGCAGAGCTTACATTGAGACGTAGTCGACGCAGTGCAGCGTAGAGAAAACTGTGTTCATCATTAAAGTAAATGCGTATTGTCAAGCATTTCTACATCATTCAGTCACGAATTTAAGTTCTGAATCAGATTCCGATGATGATTTTGTCGTACATTTTTAGTTTTATTCGTTAAATAAACGTAATAAATTCTGGAAAAGTAATTTTATGGGAAAAAAAAAAATTACATTGAAAATTTGGCGTCGGAATTTTTTGATATGTTTTCCCAAATTTAATTTTTAAACTTGCCCTTCGTACAGTCGAAATTACTAGAATCAAATAAAACTTTGTAAAGTTCAATTAAAGTCTCTTCCACCGTACATTCTTAAAAAATAGTGAATTTTTTATTTGTTAATTATTAACAATAGTTAAAATTTTGTGATATCGTACAACATATGATATTTTAAAATATTTTCTAAATCACCAAACACGTACCTATACAGTTAACTGTGTTGCGAACGCTCCGTGACGCAGACAAACATAAGTACTGTATAGCTCTGCTCTGCCTTGCCTCCCAATATACACTAGTACGGTGGTTCTCGAACTATGCTCCGCAGAGCTCATGGGCTCCGTGGCTCAGTAGGCACATCTGAATTCATTAAACTCGAACATTATTATATTTCTTAGTTTTCGAGGGAAAACACTAGAACGATAACTCGAATTACACAATGAACTGTACGTTTTTTTCACCGAACGCCAATTTTATCACACTTCGGTACTGATAACATTTGGTTATTTTAACTTCATTGTTTGGCTGGTATTTCTACAAAATTAAACTAAGTATATTTATCAATACAAGGTAAAATTACTACAGTTTTCACGGCAAACAACAAAATTTTAGCTTCTAAAAAAAAACAAAAGAATTAAATTTTGGGCTGTATTTTTCTTAACAAAAAATTGATAATTATTGTTGTTTCAAATAGACAGTCCTGATTTTCGGGGCTCTGAACATTTTTTTAATGAACATAGAGGCTCTGAGAACGAAACATTTTGAGAACCACCGCGCTAGTCGATTCTAACCACGGATTATATGAATACAGATGGTGCACTCCCTATGCCACAATGTAAATTCAGCGATAGGAGCATAGACATATTAAGATATGAACTGCGCCTCCCCCACACCCTGCCGTCAGTTTCTTAAAATAAGATTGTTAAAAAGAGAAAGAGCTTAGTTTAGGTCATAGATATATTAAGATATATATATATCTTAATATGTCTATGGATAAGAAAGAATGTAATATCATGGAATAATAAACAAACATATATATGCACTTAATATACATATAATGTTTTAAATATAGAACTTATAATTTCAAGTGTATTTTATTTAAAGATCACAAATATCAGTTTTAAGCATAGACATATTAAATAAAATTAATACCTACAACATTTTTTATCCGTAATTATTAATTTGTCTATGAAAAACCCATATCAAATTGATAACTGTGTTCCAATTAAGATCTCAATATGTCTATGGTTTTTGACTACACGAAATTATATAATATCTTCCATGATACCTAAATAATGTCTTGTCTCTTTCTATCGATATAAACTATTGACTTCTCTCTCTACTAGCAGTCCATATTTTAATATGTCTATAGATAGGAGTCTGACACTTTTAAGGAGCGAGTCCAAAAATAGAAAAATAAATTTCTTTATAATAATTTATTATTTCTGAATGAATATCACTGACTTTTGTGGTGATTCCACGAAATGTTACCCATAATTCTAAGTAATTTTTCTAAGTAAATAATATGGCTCATTATTATGGTAAAATGTTCGGTACAATCATGCATATCTTAAATGTGGTCACATTGATCATAGAAGTTGGGCACGCTCCATAAAAGTGTCCATGATTTGTTTACACTTTGAGAAATCGCAGAAGTGCACCATTTGTATTCATATAATCCGTGGTTCTAACTATAACTATAACTAATTATCTAATAGATTACAGAAAACACTGCTACAATTCTCTACGCTTAGCTCCGTCGCCTGCATCTCAATATGCGCTTGACCTAAATTTAACGTTTAAACCACACATAAATGTTATTTATTTAATTTTAAAATGATTCGATTTATTGAATCGTTTTTATTTTTTTTTTAAATTTTATTATTTTTATTTTTGCATAGATTTTCTCTAAATGATTTCCTCCACATTTCACACCCTCAGAGTAAAAAATTTTAAGCTTTGAGCGTCTATTTATACTGAGTATAATTAAAATATAATAATACAATCATTTTTAATCGTAAACACAGAAAATACCAATTGATCGTACAAAATTTAAGAAACCTGAGGAACCGAAGAAATTTAAAAATATCAAAACATACACTATAGTTGGATTGAATAAACATGGTAAAAGAGACATGAATAAATATAAAGGCACATTCATAAAAGGTTCTCCAAACGATTATCATTTATTGGGACTTTTCAATGATTTTTTTAAAAACAACCTGAAAAAAATGAAGAAATATATTTTATGGTAATTTTTATTTTTATATTTTCAAGACACATTTACGTTATGTTTTTATTATTAGGATAAATTATGAAGTGTTTCCATATAGTAAATTTCGTTTTATTAACATTTTATTCCTAGATACATTCGTAAAGGGGGGGAGGGGATGATATTTCTTTGAAAATAATTGTTTTAATATTTTGACTACTATAGAACTGATGAAATTGACAAATTTTGGGCCTGGTTTGCAACAAGACAGTACAACTAAATACCATGTGAAAAACATTAACAAGATAAAGAAAATAATAGAATTCAAATTATGACAATGATGATGATAATTATGACACAGTTATGTACACAAGAAGAATTTTTAATATACACAGAGTGATCACGAGGGTGGTACTCCTTTCACCCAAAAATGACCTTCCTCTTTTTGCTCACGTCCTCTTTTCGACCAAAAATGAAAAAACAGTTTCCTCTTTTTGCCCAAAAATAATTGTATTCTTTTCGCCCATGGTTTCACGTTTTACATTTTGGAAACCACTGTCTCAAAATTAATGATTTTTAAAAAAAATCATATAATAATCAAATAAAAAAATAGAAAAAATGTATAATTAATATATAATTAAAATGTTAACAACATTTTAACAAGTGTATTTTTTGAAATGGTATTACCTATTTTTAGCACCGCATTCGGATTAATTTTTTTTTAAAAAAATTTTGACTTACTTATAAATTATAAGTAAGAGTAAAACTTTCAAATTTAAAATGATTATAATTAGTAAATTTCAGGTTTAGGATTATAAGTTACAATCCTCTAATTATAATCCTCACTAATTATAATCATTTAAAATTTGAAACAAGTTTTTTTTAACATTTTAAATTTACCACATTGTTTTATTTATTTCTTTTTTTCAAGTAGTCTAATTTTATATCAATAAAATACATTTTTAGTATAGTTAAACGATCATATACAATTCATAACATTATTTGTATACCTCTGGACAGCGCTGGATTTAATTTTTTTTATTACATACTGAAAATAGACTTACAGGCTTCAATTTACTATATGTATGAAAAAAGTGTAGACACATGTGATAATATTTATTATTTGTCCCATGGAGTGGGAAAATGAAGAATATTTTAATTTTTTTTTTTCTATTTTCAAAACCTGGGTTTTATCTAATTATCTTTGGAGCATTATTTCGAATCTAAAAATTAATACTTTTAAGAGATTCTTTGCAAATTTCTCATGTGAATCTATATATGACATCGATTGTGGACTTGTCGAGTGTTTTTCATGCTCAGGTACCAGGATTAAAATATGTGGTGTGACCTCAATTTATATAAAAATACTGCAAGATAAACAAAGGTGACATTTATTTGTTGTTATTTTAAATATCTAATTAATTAATACGGTTTTTATTGTAAAGTTATCATAATTAAACAAAATGCATTTGAAATTGAACGAAAACTGAATTAATGAATCAGATATGTGAAGTAAGAACAATTTAATTTCACCTTTGTTTATCTTAAAATAAACTTCCCATACAAATCGATATTTCACAACACATCTTTTGATCCTGGTGACTTGAGCGTGTAAAACGCACAACAAATCCAAAATCGATGTCATGTATCAATTCGCATGAGAAATTTGCTATAAATCTCTGACAAGTATTAATTTTCGGATTCGAAATAATATTCTAAAGATAATTAAATAAAACCCAGGTTTTGAAGATAGAAAACATTTTCAAAACATTATTCATTTGGCTATTCCAAAGAGTACGCGTATACTTGTTTCCTCAACCATTTCAGAAACACCCTGTATCATATAAATAAAAATGACATGGAACGGTTTATTGAAAATTTGTAAACAATTTTTTTTAATTTTAAATTATCATAGTTGAATCATATTAGAGTTGGGATAGACGGTAAAAGTTGACATCGAAAGAGTTAATATTTTGAAATATTCCTAAAAATGCATATTATAGTACCCCATAGACTTACCCTAAACTTGTTTGAAAAAACTACAAGGTTATCTGGTCGAGATATTTAATAACTGAAACTGTAATCACACTCCATACAAAGATTATGTAGGGTGAAGATATTTTTGTGGCAAAAGCAATTTCGTGATAATATTTGCTGAACATATAATGTAATTATCTATTTTACGATTAACTTATAAATTACATTTTATTAACTAATAATACTTACTCTATGGGCTGAATAGATATGTGGTTGTTCATCATTTATGAAACATGTTTATAAAAATATCACAAAGATACAAACTTCACTTATTCGCTATAAATGAAGAAAAATACCTCACGTTTAAGTAGTGTATTAAAATAAACTATTTAGTGAAAAAATACTAGTAATATTATCTCAACATCATAGGCGGTACTAGACCTTCTTGGCAGGAAAAGCAGGAAATACTTTAAGTAAAATAATAACACTATTTTGTCTAAATCTTTAGACTAGCAATACTATAAAAAAAAGTATTTTATTGATATCTATTTTAACTTTATTCAAATAAGATTATTTTGTAAAATGAATAATACACTTACAAATACCTGTATTTATATTATTTTATCTTATAAAATTTTAAAATAATAAGTCACCACAATTTACCTGTGATGGTTCTCATAGGCGGACCCAGAGTGATACATTTGAGTGTGCCCTGTCATTTTTTGGTTATTTTTTCAAAATATAAAAGGGAGGCTATAAACACGTACATGTAGACCGTGTTATAATTTAAATTCTAAAAATAAAGGATTCGTTAATGATGTAAATTAACGATTGATAAAATATACACGTAATTATTATTTCAGACTTATTCTGAACACTTGCAATATTACTTACAAAAACTAAAATGTAATTAATGTGTATACACATGTATTCTCAATTGTAATTATTCAATTTTTTTATTCGCATAATTCACATTAGGGTGTGCCAAGGCACACCCGGCACACCCCGTAGAGCCGCCTATGATGGTTCTTGTATGAAAAAGTCATATAAATTTTTTATTTTTTTACTTTGTTTTGTGTTTATAATTTTTATTATAATTAGTATTATCCAAAAAACCCAAGAATACTAAATAAAATACACACTTCAAATCAAAGTATAAAATCATATAAAACGTTTATGACACAGATAATAATAAAGTACCTAATTCATGATAATAATTCATGATTTGTCAATGATAAAAATAAATTATAATAATATTGAAAATGTTGACGCAAAAAATCTTATCAGCATATTTTCATGAATGGTTCCCATGGTTGTAAGTAATAATATTATTATCTACATTGTAGATTCTACAACCATGGGAACCATTCATGAAAATATCGCAGGGGGGGCATTCACCTACCTTGCCCCTCCCGTAGTATCGCCTATGCTCAACATACAAATTTAATAAATATCAATATAATATAATATGCTTTTTGGTTAATACAACACAAAATTTAAAAATATAGATATTAATAATATAATATATACATTTTTATTAAAATTTTAAAAACTGTTCAAAATTATAAGATTTTTCATAATATTTAGTTACAAATAATAAATCCTATTATTATACAAAACAACTTAAAAGAAAGAATTATCATTTATCTTATAATGCAGGAAAGTAGGATATCTGATATGTTGTCAATATGTGTATTGATCCCAGAATGAAATTATACACGATGAAGTAAAACTGTAAAAGTTGGCATATTTTGTTTTTCAAAATGTTCATCAATGATTAACTTCATTCTTCTTACATAGCTAATAATTTATTATTATAAATCGGTATTGGCGTAAAATGTACAGAGTTGGATCTAAGATTTTATTGAGGGGGAGGGGTTGAAAAATGTTTTCTTTATATTTTTTATTACATTGCAGCCAGTGATTAATAATGAATTAAAATAATAATAAGCAGTATAATACATTCATTTAAATCTATGAATACTAATTTCTTGTATGAATAAAAATAAAAATTACATACTTTCTCTCATACTTAAATAAAAAAAATCTTTTTCTTAATTCATAAAATTGTTGATTTTTAATAAATATTTTTCCTGATTTTGGAGGGGATACCCCTCTCCAGGTGAATCCACCACTCATAATGTGTATATATGTTCAAAGTGTTTATCCCGTAAAATATAGAAATAAATGAATAACAATGAATGTAGGTATACTCTATATTTGAGCACCTAGTTCCGGGCCCCTAACAAAAAGGTTAGTAATAAACAATACCTATTATATAATATTATTATGAACATACCATTTTTTACTAAGATGACTTGCCAATTCAAATTCAAAGTATTAACTATCAAATAAATCAATTGTTAGTAAAAATATGCAATTCCTTTTTTTGTATAGGAACGAATTTATCTAAATAAAATAAAAGATAATTAAATAATTATCTAGATAATTTATCTAGGTAAGTCTCAACACTGATTGCTGTGCAAAATATTTATTAATTTTATTACTTTTCGTCATTCAACTTTACAAAAACATTTCGAATGCTTTGTATATGTTTACAATAATAGTCTGTTGTATCTAAACATGTCACGCAACAAGTAATTATAGGTTCAGGTGGTAGTATTACTTGAGGATCTTCGTATATAATCGTTTTAATAGATATAATAAATACTGACCATTATGATAAAAATTTATCTCTATCGTCTTTATAAGTTTATAACAAATTGTTGATCATGATTCATGAAAAATATTCACTAAAGTGCTTGATTTTCGATAAACCATAAAATTATGCACTAAAACCTTAAAATATGCTCTTAAAATCAAAAATATGGCCCTTAAACCAAAAAATGTCCAAAGAGGCAGAAATAAAAATGTTGAGTATTTCATCATAAATATTATGAAATGTATTTTATACTTACAAAGCATATGAAAGCTAACCAGAAAAAATATGCAAATGCATGAAAGTTCTTGCTTTAGATATTAACAATAACACGTTGCTGTGACGTTTTAAGATTTAATTTTTCAATCTAACAATAGTTCGTACGAAATATTCGTCACATCAACAACGGAGTTTCTAGTAAACACGTATAATTTCCTTCTAATTTTTTCTGAAGCCATCATAAGTTTCATTAATACTTTAAAGTTTCAAATTTAAACGATTTTAATTTATCAGTTAACTATTTTCCTAATATCGTTAATCAGAGGTCAATTTGTCGACTTTTCAAATAGCGGAGTTGCTAGTTATTGAAGATAATCTATGCAGAAATCTTTCGAGCAGATATTTCTACCAGGTAAGACCTTTTAACCCTTTTCCAACCCTTTTATGTCTACACTATGAAATATTTAAGAAAAAAATTATGATTAAGAAAACTATTATTTTAGGATCAAATGAGCAAAAACAATTTTTTTTTTAATTTTTGAAAAATTTACTTTTATTATTATTATTATAATAAATTATTATAATTATAAATATATTCATAATAATAAATAATATATTTTTAATATATAATGTAATACATATAAATTATTTATTATTATTATTATTATTATTATTATTAATTGTTATTTATTTTTATTCATTTTTTTAAGTTTTATAAACCTTATTCTTAAATGAGTTATTGACAGTTGCCAGATACAAAATTTTTTCTTAAACTTTTTTCATTCAAGTATACTATACTCATAATTAAGCGTGTAGAGACCTGCATTTAAGGAGGTGCCTACTACATTTTTGGGCCTTATCATAACAAAACGTGTAGGTATATTTAATAAATCATAATGTATAAATAGTTAAATAAACACGAATCAAATTTTTTATTTAATATTGTGGTAATTAGTCTCATGAATATATTTTCCTAGAATCTTATATATTTTTCACAGACAGTTATAATTATTTATGGTTTGTACTTTTGTAGTCAATTTTAGCTGTTATATGTATTATCATAATAAGTTTTTATACGAAAATTTATTTCTATTTTTCTATTATAAAACATAATTTATTTTTTGCTAAATATTTTAGAATAAATTCCATTTAATTTAAGCAACATCAGTTAAAATACGAAACCATTACTCTTAGACTTAAATTTCAAGACATATTTTTAACACCACCTGTGGGTACCCAAAGTACGGTGGGACTTTTTTTTTCCTTTTAAAACCCGGCAATAAGCCCATCACCCGGATATGTCGATGAGATAATGTTTCGGGTGGCGGGTCACCATAATTTGTTCTTTCAATGTTAGAAAATTTTTTTGAGGCAAGTACGAGACAGCACTAACGGTTACCCCTTATAAAGATATACAAAAAAAATATATTGTCTTTCCTAGCCTCGTTCGTAGGGCTAGGTATGCTTCTTATCCAGCGTGACGTCTTTACTAACCCCCTCATGAAGACCCAACTTGACGTGGGGGGGGGGCTTGCGTCCCTCAACAGTTCCGAGAGCTATGCCAACGGTAGCTTACTACCAACAGGGTCTCCCATGTTGGACAGGTCGATGAACTGAGGGCTGACAAAGCAGTTCACAAAAGGTAGGGCGGACTCTTCAGCCTCGGGTGGCAGCCGTCCTAGAGGAAGGAAAACCTTGATCAAAAACTCCCTGGCAGTAGGGTTAAAATGTAGTGAAGGAAATCACTTAAAAAACCACAATATGAGTTACTATCAGTCGAGTATTGTTACCACCTCAGGAGCTTCAGAACCCCAGAGGTCGGCAAGAGTGGGTAGTTCCGGTGTAAAAACCGGTTCCAACGTAGCGGGCACACTTCGGTCGTTATCAAGCGACCACGAGGGTACGGGGTTGGCCGATCAGGCCCCCGTTGATCTATCCATTACTGGTGCAAAGATGAAGAATTGCGGGCCACGTCGACGGCAGCAAACGAACTGGTCACTAGACGTGATCTTCGCGTTGACCACATGCCAAAACCCAAGATAAGTATTCCCAGACGGAGTGGAACTTCGGTCGGTGCGACTTCGGATCGCAAACGGCACCGAAGTGTTCTGACGTAGAGGTTCAAACTACCGACGTTGGGGTTCAAACCACAGATGGTTCAACAACAACGCCCGCGTCCTGTTCAGTCATCCCAGTTGCCGTACCACCCCCGGAGGCTACGAAAGAGCCAGTCACCAGCCCCACAGACCCGAGAACAACGGAGAAGCCGAAGGTCAGTAACAATCATAATTAAGTATATTTTAAGTTAAAGCACCAACATCTAATCATTCCTTTTTTATGTATTACGCTTTCAAACCAATACTTTGACCGCAACGTTAAAATATTGATTAATATATCAATATATATATATAATATATATAAATATATTAATTACATTATACTCCTTGTTCTCGAGATTCGACAAAGGCGTTGTGTTGGACGAAGGTATGTAAAATTTGAGAAATTAAATTTTTTTTCAGGCCATTCTTTAATTAATTATATTTACAAACAAATAATTTTCATTATTAAGTAAGTTTTTTTTCCGTGTGCCCCGAAATACTCGCGGCACACATGGCGTCAAGATGCTCGTTCAACACAGTAGTCGACCCTTTTTGTGGTGCTGGTGGCAATGCCATACAGTTAGCTCTGACATGTCACCATGGTAAGACCTACGTTTTTTTTTATCGGTTTTAAATATTTTATATAACATGCATTTGAATTATAATTTTGCATTTTTTTTTCAGTTATCGCTGTTGATGTTAACCCGGCTAAAATCAAATTAGCCCGCCAAAATGCCCAAATATACGGAGTCGATGAAAAAATCGACTTCCGTGTAGGCGATTATTTCAACATTTTAGACCGGGTTCGTGCAGATACAGTTGTGACATCGCTGCCGTGGGGCAGACCCGGCTACTCCAGATATTTCGACACGAATGATCTGTGTAGCCGGGAAGCGGGTGGCATGTCAAGCATCCTCAGTATGGCAAAGAAGCTCGAACTGTACTACACGTGCCGAAGACCATTGTCCGAGAACAGTGTTTACACTTATCAAGAAATGCAAACTTCGGCCGTGTAGAGTTCGAGGACGTTATGATCGATGGACGACAGAATTGCACAAATATATATTTGAAATTGCGTCAGGTAAATAAAATTGGCTATATTATAATTATTTTTAACAACATTATATTGAACTAAGTTAAAAAATAATTTTTTCATTGTGACATAGTTTTCTTATGTTGCAGGATTACAGGCGATTCGGACTTGCCGTCACTACAAAAGTGAAATTGGACACCGGATATAAAAATCGGTGGTCAAGTTCTAATAGCCTAATGCATATTCCACCTATTTGGAAAAAACTAAACATTTTTTGACATCCAAATAACTGACTTCGGGAACATTTTCCCAATATTTTTTTGTTTCTACTTTTTTTTTTTAATTTTTTCCCTCTTTTGGGTTTTTTTCTTTTAAATAGAGTTTTTTTTACCTTTTTTTACTTTTTAATTGTTTAAATTTTTTTCTGTTTTGAAATTTTTTTTTTTTAGTTTTTTGCCTAAATTATTTTATACAAATCATCAATAACCATTTATTATTTATTTTTTAATGTTATAACTTTTTTCTTTTTTTTATATTTTGTTACAATTTTACAGTTTAACTCATTTTTGCTTTGAGTTTTATTTTTATTTATATACATTTGTTATTGTGATACTTTTCACATTTTTTTTTTTTTTTTGTTATGTGTTATTCTATTTTTCTAAGTTATACTTACTATAACTAGTATTTTTGTTCACCAAACATTTTTAATGTATTTTAAATTATTGTGGCAATTTTTTTTTTTTGCATCCTATTGTTTTGTTATACATAAGTACATGAAAATATACTATGATTAACTATGTACCTGTATTATTTTTATTTTAATTTTATGTATAAAAAAGATACTTGATTATTTTTTGATCAAAATTATTATATCATTAAATTTTTTCAATTTGAAATCATAATATTTTCCTCTTAAAACTAATTTTATAATTATTAGTAATATTAGTCTAAAAAGTAGCTAAATAAATCCTAGTTTAAAGATATTTACTGCATAATAAATATTAAAATATTAATTGTATATGGCTTATGAATAATATATGTTTAAATGTTCCTATGCATCAATATAAGTATGAACATGAATCATAATTCTAAATTCAAGAAATTTTCTCAATCAATAATTAATAGTATTTTATTTTTTTGTAAAATATTTTAAAACTTAGATGGGCAATTTTCAACGAATGAATTAAACTTTTCACTTATATAATTTAATATATATATATATATATATATATATATATATATAATACTTCAATATATTTACACATAATTCTTTTTACACAATTACCTAAGACTTAAAAATGATTTCGATTTTCTTCATATTTAACATTCAAAAAAATAACTACACTAGTATATTTAATCTATGGTAGTACAGTTTAAAGTATTTAATATTGTAGTATAGATCAAAATTACAAGCCTTTACAGAGTAAATGCCAAAGAATTTGGTGTGAAAAAATAATATTTAAAAGATGATTTATACTGACTGATTTTATGAACCCATTCGATATATTTTATATTCATTTAAAATTTAACAAGCGTGAATTAAACAATATAACGTCCTAAGACTTTGTTGAAGACTAACTTCGATGATTGTGTTTCTCGTAACATATTTCTTACCGGATTTGGATAAAATTTAACAACTTCTGAGTTTAATAGTCATCATCGTTAAAACGATGAAAATTATGCAACGATTGTCACTATCATGACAATACATCGTGATCTAAAAATAAAGATCTAATAACTATAAACGATAACACCTCAACATCCTTTGAAATATTCCCTACTCAGCACAATCCTAGCAAAATCAACGCATCATTCAGTTGGCTTCGAAAACTCTATTGGAATGTTCTAACAAATTCCTAAATCAGAATTGATCTGAAAACCTTAGCAAATAATCAAAACAAAATATAAGTCAGTCCAGATTTCATAACAGTAAGTCTTTTCCGTATACATAACAACAAAACCACAAATTAAAACCAATAATATTTAACCAACATTTTTTTTTTACTTTAATTTATTATTGTAATATTTTTATTTCTTCTGTACATTTGTTCATTACATTTTTTTATGTGTAAAGAAATACTTTGGTACTATGAATCTATGACTATATAATATTTTTCTCCATTAAAATGATATTTTATTTTACAGGAATTTTTCAACTTATTGTTTCATGTATTGTACATAAGAATGTAACTTGTATAATTAATTATAAAACTGTATTACTTTGAGTTCTTATTTCACAGATTAGAAAAGAGGTTTGATCATTTCTTCTTCAACATAATTATGTCAATAAGTGATTTGAGTTTTATTTACCCGTTTGAGTATCCAGCTATATATTTAGTATCATTTGGTATTCGTTTAGATCAATTTAAATAAAAATATTTGCAACTTAAAAAATTAATATTTTCCGTTCATAATACTGATTTTCTTACGATTGAGGTCCAAAGAGTAGAAATGAAATACTTGAGCTCAGTTGTTATGCGATTATAAATTTTAAAATATTAATTTTTTATGCCCTATAAATCAAGGACATACCCAGGGGAGGTTCGGGTCCGGACCCCATCCCATTGAAATTTCTACATACTCAACGATTTAATAGTAAATAGTATAATAATAGTATATAGTGTATTTTAATTTCCCACTATCAGATAAAATAAAAATGTTGGACTCCCCCCATAAAAAATTCCTGAGTATGCACCTGATGGTCATTCTAATATTTTACTAAAAAAATCGGAAAATCGTGTTCGAAAACTGAACACGGTTTTCTGAGAAGCAACACCAGCTAAGACAAAGCTGGAAATCACATGGTTTCCATAAAATGTCATCATATAAGTTTCGTTCAAACGAAGGTACATTTCATTTATATCTTTGATCGTGGAAATCACGCGGCAAAAGTGCGGTTGTTGTGGTGATAACGCGACTCGTTGACGACTTGTCGTTATCGTTCTTATCAGCGGCCGGTGACCGTTAGAACGTCGAAAAAAGGGTGGCAACGAAACTACCGCAGTACTATTACCACCACCACCATCGACCGGCAACGAGCGGTAACAAACTGATAATTCGTAACAATAGCCGGTAATAACATTACGCAGTAACGTCATGTTCACTTGCCCTCGCTTAGTATTCGACGACGTTCGCGTGCTGTCGTTTGCATAACGTATTTTTTCATCCTCCTCTCCTCCGCTCGTCACCTTCCTACGCTGATGCCTGATGACGGCTTTCATCTAGCGCGCGTGTTTCTGCTTCCCACGCGAACGACTCCCCGTCGCCGGCTTTCAAACGGTCCCAACGTCCAGTCCGAAATCACTGCACGCCGACTGATGTTCTTCACCTGTCGCTGAACCCCCACACCCAACGACTCGTGTCAAAGTGGGTTTCGAGTTCGAGACATTTTTTTTCGTATCCGTTCATTAACTTGTACACCTACCCTTAGGCCCGCGATTGTCCCATATTGTAATTGTTTCTTTTACTCCGGCAGACCAGACAATGGCCGACGTTGCAGGGAACCCGTCGGATTCGTACGATCGCATTTTGCAGTCGGTGAACGAGAGCAACATCATCAAGTACATGCCGTACCGCATAGCTGTGAAACTGTCCGTCCTACAAAAACTCACCTGCTGTGAGTTTCTCTCCGTCTTTAAAACAATGTAATATCCCTATAACTTACTGTCTCTGTCTACCTATCTGATGAAAGCAACTTACCAATATTGCAATATACTTCTCGGTTACAGTTCAAACACCTGTTATTAAGTATAAAGAACATAATTAATTTCTGATATAACATCATAACGTTTTTCTGGATCCAATGAAGAAGTTTCAATAATATGAGAAATCATAAAACGTGAACATAACAAGATTATGGCTGTCTGCTATATTTTCCTCTTTCAATTCGATGGTAGGTGTTCAAAGTGGTTTATGAACCTAGAATCTATAATTCTGATTTTACGATCAGCAATTAAAATAATATATTGTCTTTTAGGTTGACAGAGACAGTATACTGTAGGAATCACATCTGTAATATACCTAATAATAAATAATATATGTATATGTAAATAATTTAGCTAGATCATAGTTCAGTATCTATTTCAAAAATTCAGTTATTATGTTACATAAATAGTTAACGTTTTAAAATGTTAGTATAATTGTATAAAAAATCACGTATTTAATTTAGATCCAACCATGTTCAAATTTGAGTTAACTAATTTCAATTCAGTAATTGATTATAGATAAGTTCAAAAACAGTAATAACATATATTTTTCAATTTCTCATTTTATCAAAGATCCAAAACTAAATATTTTTAAATTAAATCTATAATGATTAATCTTCCATAGTTTTATTTGTATTAAATTAAATTCATATTTTTAAAATGGAAAAATATAGGTACATTTAATAAAAAATTTAAAGTAGGTATAGTATTTAAAACAATTATTTATAATCTGGAGTTTGAACTATTTTAACTTTTATTTTTTTTATTTTATTAATGATTTACATTTTACTTGTAAAAATGATTTTTCAATATTACTGAATTTACCTAAAAAAAAATTATTTTAGATTCATTTTTTAATCATTAGATTATACACTTATAACTGAAAAAAGGGGTTTATCTATACAAAATATTTCACAAATTATTTGTGTATATAATATGAAACAAATATTTAACAATAATGAGCATCACTTTATATCAAATATTAATTTTTAATTACATAATAAAAATAATAAAGTAAAACAAAATTATAATTAAATGTATTATTATAAACATTTGCCAATAAGGCATTAATTTTATAAAAGGTATACTATGAAGACACACACGGTTGTCAACTGATATCGATAATACTGCTGCTTTCATGTCTGGTGTCATATTTCCATTCAAAAATTCTAAGCCAGTAACAAACATCGCATGAGCTTGATTAACATTATAAACAGTTTTGAAATTACTTGCCTCGTGTATGCTAACACTTCCTGAGTACATTGTACCTACAGCAATATATAGTCCATCTTTACTTACTGCTAAGGCTGATGTAGGCTCAGAAAATAATAGCTCATTGAGTATTTTATTTTTTTCCGACCATCTTTGTAAGTAAGATTTTTGCCTTGGACCATTTGCAATTGTATAAATGTTATAAATCGGTTTATTGCTAATTATACCAAATTTACATCTTTTAAATATTTGTTTATCATTAATTGGATGAATGAGAGCTGATCGTATGTCAGTGAGAGTATTCCAATGATACGCTTTTCCATCTTTGGCTACACTTACTATAAATTTACCATCACAACTTATGTCTATGTCATCGATTTCTTTAGTATGGCCTTCATAGGTTTTTAATGGGTTAGTTTCTTTTGATTTGACTATTGGAAAGTTCCAAAGTCGAATGCATCCATCAGCTCCTCCTGTTACCATCATATTTCCATCGTTGTTGACTTTAACAATTCTTTGAAGTGGTTCATCTTCACTGAAGTCTGTTAATAAAGAATCTCCTGTTGTTATTTTAAAGTTAATCTCTTTGCTTGCTTTACCATTTTGAAAAGTTGGTTCTATAACAATATCAGCAATATACTGTCGACATTTTTCATTTTCGTTTGCTGCAATGTAAATTTTGTTACCACTATAATTTGTACAACAGTTCATTATTACATTTGGACCACTATCATAGCGGATCACTCTTGTCAAAGTTACAGTTTTACCATCTCTACTTAATTTAAATATTTCAAATCCATTTAATATACCAGTTTTGCTTGAACCTCCGCCGCCAGCAACCAGTATGTAATTATTTAGGAATGTTTGAATTGAGTACATCGGCAAATTTGTTGTAGTTAACACTTGAGATTTGATTGCCATGTTAAAAAAAATTAATTTAAAAAACTAAAATGATACACAAATCAAAAGATCCAAATAAACAATTTTGTTTTAATGTCAAAACGTTATCAATATTCATATTGATAAGACATGACAACCAGTGCTAACACTTTGATAGTAATTTTTCTTATAAATTTGATGATCATTAAATGATCAATCATTTGAATATAAAAAGTAATAACTAATATATAAGTGTTAATAGATTTTTTTTTAAATTTAATATTCTTAATTAAATTAACCTGTTGAAATATTAGCTAATGAAATGTGATTGGTTTTTAGGAAATATTTATTTTTTTTTTATGGTTGACTTGAATATTTATTTTTCTTTAATTCATTAGAGAAAATTTTAATACGAGGGCTATTCAGAAACTAGGGAACGTTTTGTAATAAAACAAAAACTAGGTACAGGAAAAATATTTTATTATATACATCTGAAAGAGTGACTAAAATGCTACTTTTCTACATAGTTACCAAACAAATTAAGGCACTTATCGTAGCGGTGGACAAGCTTCGAAATTCCTTCGTCATAGAAATCCGCCGCCTGCGATCTCAGCCACTGAGTGACGCACGCCCGGAGCTCGTCGTCGTCATCAAAACGCTGTGTCGCTAGCTGGTTTTTCATCTTCGGGAACAAGTGAAAATCACTCGGTGCTGGGTCAGGACTGTAGGGTGGATGTGGGAAAATCTCCCATTTGAATGAGTCAAGAAGTTCTGTAGTTCGATTTGCCGTGTGAGGTCGGGCATTGTCATGAAAAAACAAAATTTTTGACGATAACTTTCCTCGGCGCTTGTTTTTCACTGCTCTTTTAAGCTTGCGCAATGTTTGGCAGTACTGATCAGAGTTGATTGTTGCACCACGCTCGAGAAAGTCAATAATCAGCACACCTTGCCTATCCCAAAAAACAGTAGCCATAATCTTCCTCGCTGACAAGGTTTGCAAAAATTTTGTTTTTTCATGACAATGACCGACCTCACATGGCAAATCGAACTGCAGAACTTCTTGACTCATTCAAATGAGAGATTTTCCCACATCTACCCTACAGTCCCGACCTAGTACCGAGTGATTTTCACTTGTTCCCGAAGATGAAGAACCAGCTAGCGACACAGCGTTTTGATGACGACGACGAGCTCCGGGCGTGCATCACTCAGTGGCTGAGATCGCAGGTGGCGGATTTCTATGACGAAGGAATTTCGAAGCTTGTCCACCGCTACGATAAGTGCCTTAATTTGTTTGGTAACTATGTAGAAAAGTAGCATTTTAGTCACTCTTTCAGATGTATATAATAAAATATTTTTCCTGTACCTAGTTTTTGTTTTATTACAAAACGTTCCCTAGTTTCTGAATAGCCCTCGTATGTTAAATATATAGGTTAGGCTAACCTTTAATATAACGAGTTGATAAAATACAATAACAGCGATAAATTATCAAGATACGCGTGGTCATCTATAATCGTAAGAAAATCGTATTTAATGTAAGCAAACATATTTAAGACTCTACGGTTTTGCCCTTACGATTAAAGTCAGTATACGGTTTTGGCGGTATTGCCCAAATGAGGTTGGTCAAAAGCCGAAATATGACATTTTGCCCAAGGATTGTGAGCAATTCGCATTTTGCGAATTTATGAAATTGCCGATTTCATGAAATCAGCAACGTTGTCACCGAATACGTGTAATTGGCAATTTGGCTACTAAATTCACGAAATCGGCAAATTTTAATTGCTGATTTCGTGAATTAGACAGCCTTTTTCTGCCGATTGCACGAATTCAGTAACACATTATTATGATATAATTACAAATAGTGGCTTATGGCAGTAATTGTAAATTTCCTCCCTCTTTTAAAAGTTGGTTACAATATGCTGGTTAGGTTAAGTCAATCCCGTCTGTGGATCGAGGTGATGCAGCCAACCTTCTTGTAGTTATCGTAGAAGAAAAAGATGGCAAATTTTGTATCGGGAATAAAGAAATGATTTTAAGTACATGGCTGGAGCGGAACAGTTTGGTAGCTACAAAGTACTGTTCCCAAACGACTCCAGACGTTCAAAAAAATGAATATTTATTACGGGAACTTGTTGGATTGGTATCAGTTGGGACCGAACAAGGCTATTGATTGACTATATATTGACGTACTTGTCGTACGAATTGCACATCTAAAAAGTGCAATTGTAAAAAAAAAATATGATGTGTAATTCGGCGTGTCACTCAGGCCATACTTGTCAAAATATTTAAATATAATACAATTTTTTTTTTACTTTTTTTTTACACATTAAAATGTATTTATTATTTTATTATATTTCCGGTGTTTTACACATTTATTTAAATACGAGTACATATAATATTATTATAAATTGATTTTATTATATTTCCAGCGACTTATATATTTATTTAAATTAAATTATGCTTTATAATTTTTAAGAAGGGTCTTGCCGATTTCACGCAATCGACAGTATTACATACTTTGAGTTGCCGATTTCACGTATTCGGCGACAATGTTGCTGATTTCATGAAATCGGCAATTTCATAAATTCGGCATACACAACATTGAATATAAATATTTCATGTCTTTAGAGAAAATGTATCATAACTATTTATTTTTTTGTATTCTAATTTAAAATTATTAACAAATTATTATTTAAATATTAATTATTACTTTTTATACCACAAAAGTTTTAAATTTAATGACTTGTTTGATTTTTCAGTGGACAAAGTGTCATTGTATATGATAAATGGTGTTTATGAACAACATAAAGGAAAAAATTTCAATCTTGTTGATAAAGCTATGTTAGAAGATATTTTGTTTGATATTTATTATGCAGTCCACAAAGAATATGTAGATTTTCATTTTGATGTTGAAGAAGTTACTAAAGTGTTGGTTCAACTGTTGGGACAAATATTTTCAAAGTAAGTTTTAAAATGACTTATGTATTCAAAAATTTGTTGGTGATTTCCTACCCCTTTATAATTTTATTTCTATTTTATTTTAACTTTAACAAATATGTATTATTAACACATTGATTACCACAAGCCCGTCGGCCACCTAAGATGAGTATGTGGTTGTCATTTAGGTTGCTGGTAACCTAATCCAAATTATTTTTCAGGAGTTGTTTAGGTCACCAGTGATTCAAACCTCTCATTTTATTTAATAGACTATGCTTTTAGATAGTGTAGAGATAAAGACTTCATAATGATACCGCTGGCGAGCTAGTGAGAGTCAATGTGTTAAACATGTATAACAGTAAACTAATTATATTATATTTTTTTTATTAATGATTATATTTATTAATTGTTAATGAATTATTACTGTCACTAATTCTTGGATGGTCATCCATCCAAGACTATTCAATAGAATAATTGAGAATTATAATTTAAATTCTGAAAATAATCTTAAAAATATAACTAATGAGTTACTGAAATCTTACATTATAAAATTTAAAAATACATGTATATTATAATTTTTAATTTCATTTATATTAATATAAAATTGTATTGTAATAATTATGTTTTATTTATTCCATTACCTTTGTAATTTAATTGAAATAATTTTAAACTATACAGTTTTTTCTATAGATGTAAATAATCTTTATTAATTTATAATAATAATATAAATAAATACTTATCCATAAATCAATATATTGGATGCAGTGATGTATATTCAATCTTGCTCGGTGGGGGAGGGGGGAGGTGAACAAAAATAATCGTTATCTTTTTTTTTTTTTCGTTGTACTGATAAATAAGATAAATAACTGCTATAAACAGATATTATTTTATACAACTTTTTTACCAATTTACAGTTTACTTTTACATTACAGTAAATTAAGAGCTATTGGAATATAAAAACAGCATAGTTAACAAAACTTTTCAAACACTTATCAATATAATTATTTAATTATCATAATATTTATATAGTTGTATATTTTAAGTTCAAAGCGTAATAATGAAACTATGAATATATTACATGTCATCGATAATAAAATATTTTTTTTTTTTTTTTTTTGCCTGGGAGGGGGTTTGAACCCCGAACACCCCTCCCGTATGTACGCCACTGATTGGATGTGATATTTTCAAAGTAATGTTTATTAATAATTCTTTCATTACATTTTCATATTTTAATTTTAAAATGTTTAATAATGATAACTTTTAAATTATTTCAGGTACACAAAAAAACAAATTAACTTAAGGTCTGCATTTACAATTATAGCTTGTCTATCATGTGATAGACTGCGTATGAGACTTGGTTATATGTTCCAGTTAAATTGTCTTGACAACAAATTTGGTTTAACAAAAGAATACTTTAGAAATTTTTTAAGGGATCTCAGTTTACTACTTGAATTTTTATCAGAAAAAATTTTATTTGAATCTTCATCCTTAAACAGCATCATTGATAATTGCTTCCAAAATGTAAATTAGTATTAAAATAATTTAATTATGAAGTATATTATTTAATTTATAAATTTATTTTTTAGCTCAACAATCCAGATTGTATAAATGAAGATCAATTCATGCAATGGTTTATGACTGAACCTCCTATTTTGGAGTGGTTACAAATATTTTACAGAATAAAAATGGCTGAAAATGGTATTTTTAATAATTTCTTTATAGTAGAAAAATAAAAATACAAACTGTATAATTAAGTATTTGAAATAAAATAATAATAATAAAAAACTAAAATATACCAGTCTACTTGAGGAGAAACCTCTCATTGGCAGTACTCAATTCTTTAGCTATCATGAAAATGAAATAAAATACATTATCATAAGTATATATTGTGAAAACTTCTTATACATAAATAATTTTGAAAGAATTTAACATTATTTATTTATTAGCCTTTTATTTTGAGTGAAATTAATTCTTATCAAATAAACATTAAATGAAATCATAATCAATTAATAAAATATAATAAATGCTTTAAGTTTGAAAATAATTTTTGTAGCAATATAAAATATAAATATATCCATTTGATGATTATTTTAAGTTTTTACAATGTTATTCATACATTTTATTCAGAACATCACATATTTTCATTATTTTCAACTGTTAATTAATCTTTTCTTAATTTATTAAATATTAACATTACTTATATTCTTACTTATTATATATTGATGTTAATGTTATTTATTTTTATCAGTATTGTGTTAACTTCGTATTAATATTCTAGAGTTCTATAAATATTATTTTATTAATGAAAAATGTTATGTATTTCTATGTATTAGAAATAAACAGGGGAAGGTTCCATTATTTAAATCACCAGAATATTATTTATAAAATATGATCTCTGATTAGTTGATAAATACAATTGATAAGATACATCAGCAATAAGTATTTATAAATAATGTTCATCACAGAAATAGGTCATACTGCAAGAATAAAAATATAATAATTTTTAAAAATAATTTAATTATTGTTATTAATATAAACTTATTGATAAATCATAGCTCATATTAATAATATCCTTGGTGTTATTTAACTAGAAACCTTCCTTCCATATTCATAGTTTTATCTCAATAACATTGCTGTTGTAAAATAGTCTCAACATTTTTCATTAATAGAACTAGAAAATACAATTAATAGTAATTTAGTTTTCATGACATCACTGATAACAATTATAAAATATTTTTATCAAAATATTAAATATATATATATGTCCTATTGTGGCAATTGATTATGAACAACTACATTACTCACTCTGTAGAATGTCGCTACTAATAACTAATAAATAGTGGGTAAAGTATAAGGAGCAGCCTAAATATAGAGGAAGGTTTATAATTATCGAAATTTTAATTGAAATATATGTAATAAACCAACCCTATCCTACAGTTACCCTAAAGTTTCCATGTGCCAAAGTATACATATCTTTTGATAACAGTCCTGCTATTTATTTCTGTACATATTTACAAATACATACTATTTTCTAATTATGTGTTAATATAAAATCTTTTTTTTTCTGAATAGTATAATTTCTTTCTAGAAAACTTTGAGTGTGAGAGGACCTATGTTCAAAATACTCACTGTACAGTGTCACTACTATTTATAAATATATATATACTATTTATAAAGACATTTTAATGACCAAAATAAATTAGTTTCTAACAATGCTGTGAGTGTCTCTAAAAGTATTACAACTACTTTTTTGTATTAAAGTCTTAATTTATTTTAATGGAATGTCTATTTTTAAAATGTCTTGTTTAATAATTTTTACTTTGTATTATAATTGATATTTATGAAAATAAAATTGTATTTTAAATAAAAAATTTAACATTTATTTATAATTGATTTTAAAACTATTATTCTGAATAAGAAATTAATCTTGTTTGTAAATTGTTCAGTACACAATTTGGATGAATACATGAACTAAAATTTTATTTTTGTTACTTAATATTTTTTTAAAAAGTAACAAATTAATAGTTTCAACTTTCAGTATTCTATTGTTAAAGATAATTATACAATGTGTATATTTTTATCATTTTAAATAGTGTAGTGTGTGTAGTATATATTTTATACTCCAAACATACATATAAATGTTAAGGTGTATGACCGCAGTAGGCGAATGTTGACAGTCACTGGTGTATGTTCACATTTACAATCAGTGTTTGGTAAATGTTGACCACACATGAAGCACGATGTATGTAAAAGCTATTTTTTTATTATTTTTTTGGATCGATAAAATTTTCGATTGTTGTAATAAATAAAACTATGTATAAACAATTACTATAAAAACTTTATGTTAAAAAATGAATTTGTTAAACTATCATTATTTATCAATTTGATATATATTATGTTGTCAGGCATGTCAACATTCACTAAATAACTATTGTGCATGTCAACAAATACAGGTAAATGTCCACATTGTGAGATATTTGAAATAATTGATAACATGCACCAAAATGATCGGTAAATGTCAACATACACCGGTGACTGTTAACATTCACTGCCATGCGGTTATACGCCTTAACATATATATTGGTTTTTGTCTTGTTTCAGTTAATCATGAAGTTAAATGCAAAGTTTGCAAATTACCTGTGAAAGGTTTACGTTATTTTTGTCTAAAATGTGTAAATTATAATCAATGTCAAAATTGTTTTTTAATTGGTGCTACTAATAAAAAACACAAATTAAAACATGCAATGCAAGAATATTGTTGGTTGGTTAGTATTATTTTACAAATTTTCTTCATAACTTGTCAATATCTTAAAGTAATTTAATTTTTATTAATTTTTTAGGAAACTCCTCAGCAGTTATACACACAATATTTTAAATCTTATTTAGGAAGAATTTTCGGGTTGACATCAAAAATTCGATATCTTCCTGTTGAATTGCCCAGTGATATTATTGAATCAAGACAAAAGTAAATACTTAATATCTTTAATATTTTAATTGAATAAAGTAATAGCTGATATATATCTGAATATTATATAAGCTGCATTTAAAAATATAAATAAAATTATGATTATATTTACTAATACATTTAAATTATTTTAGCCATTTGTTTAGGCTTGTTTCCATTTTTTGATTTGGTTTTATTTGATGTGGTTTGTCTTGTTATAAACATATCTCTGTAATCATTTTTTGAATAATCTATTGCAATTTTGTTGGCAGGCTAAAAATTAAATTCATATTAGAAAAAAGTGGTATTTAGACTTAATACTGTATAAGATTTAATAATAAGAATATATTATATAATGTCATAACTAGGTCTTAGATTTAAATGCCTTAAAAAAATTTAAAAATATATTTATAATCTAAAAACTCTAAAAAATGGCCTTACAAAAAATTAATTTAAACATAAATTTACATAAAAATTTTTTATTTTTGTATTAATGAAATAATTAAATATTAAAATTCAGAAAAAAAATTTTGTTTAACATGTGAAATTATAAAAATGTATATAAAATTATATATAAAATAAAAGAAAATTTGTAAAAAATTAAATTTGACAAATCATATCTCCAACATTTATAAATTCTGTTAATGCTAATTAATTAATTAATTTATGTTAATTTTATGTTTATATTTCAGTGAAGTAAATTTTTTTAGTCATATTAAGAGAAAATAGGTTTAAAATTTCTTAAAAAATTAAATAATGCATTAAAAACGTTCTAAATACATTATATATTATTTGTAGTTACAATGTGAAATACTTGAAACTCATTTGTAGCTTGGAAAACATGATGTAAGACATTCCAAAAAAAAGATGCAAATGCATCGAAAATCAATCCCTAGTAATAACTAAATTTTAATTTAAAATAGAAGATTACTTTATCTCAAATTATCAATTACCATTTTTCATTTTTATTATTTTGTATGATTCAACAAAATTTAAAAATGATGTCTACAAATTATGTTTAAAATTTAATTTGCCATTAAAAAAAAATCTGCTGTACTATATAGTTCTCAAATTCTCTATAGTAAAATGTAATAATTATTTTACCAATATACTCTAATATATATTGAGTTGTGTAGGTTTTGTATATTGTGGTAATTTTTCTATTCACACTAATATTACCTGTACAATACATTTAATATACTATTTAATTATAATGTTTTATTGCTTAATCCTGGTTATATATTTAACTAATAATTTTATAGATTTGATGATAATAATTATTAATTTTTATATAAAAACTCAGCAAAACTATGTTATATTTCTAATTTATTACAATTATAATAAACAATTGATTTAGTTAAGTATAAAAAATCCTTTAAAAACTCACTCTTTGAAATTGTTTCTGCTCAATCATATATCGAAATGTTTCTGTTGTATTATTTTGAAAATTAAAATATTTAAAACTAACCGGAACTATATAATTTGTTTCTATTTGCAATATTTCACCCTAAAATGTATACAAGTATGTAATATTATTAAAAAGTAAATAATAATATTATGTTCTTAACAAATAATGAAACTTTTTAGTTCTCACCATTGTTGAAATAATATATAAAAAAAAAGAAATATATTATTTAATTAAAATGTAAAATGTATTTGTTAGTATTGTAACTTAGAAAAATGTTCAATTATATTTTTATTTTCTGACTATAAATTAAGGAAATTCTATATTAACTCTTTACTACAAACTGTAACTTTTATAACACACCTGAAGATACTGATTCATTTGTTATTCGGCTTCTGTTTTTTATTATACATAATGGTTTGAGTAATAAATAATAACTGTTTTTTATAACTGATAACATCATTAAAAAAAATATTCATAAATAAAACTGTTTTTTTTTTCTCAAGTTGTATTGCTAAGAAATTACTGTTGTATAACTTATGCTTTTAATGTTTAATTGCCTATTATTATGCCTAAATATTTATAGTTCTTATTGGTATAGAATTTTTTGAATTATTATTTTACTATGGCTTCAATTTTGAGAGTTAAGAATTTTCTGTCAAATCATATAAAAATAAAATTCATTTATTTTACTTGGATATAAAAAATAAAAAAAAAATCTTTACTAAAGAAAAATGTATAATACAATAATTTATATATTAAATTATAATTGTACTATATATTTATAAATTATTATTTTAGATTGTGAAGTAAAATACAATAATTTTTAATTTCAACTTGTTTCAGTGCTTTGTGGACTAAAGAATCTAGCACCACTTCGCTTGATTCCAGCACAGTGAAATCACCTCGCCAAGAATTACAAAGTGTTATATCACAAATTGAAAGAGAAAATAGGTATTTAATCAATTTTTTATAAAATAATATCTGTTTAAAAATAGTGATCAAGTCATTGAACTATCCCAATAAATCTCCAAGATAAGTGTAAAATGTAAATTATATCATACATTTAACTTTTTGAAGTTATGAGTATTTAAAATATAGTTAAATCTTAAATTAAATTAAAATATATCTTATAAGTTATAGTTTTCAACATTTATTTGTTTAAATCATTATTTCTTAATGTTTATGATAAATTTGTGTGTAGTGAGATAAACTAAATTATCATACCTAAGAATAAAAAAATAATATTTTGAAGACGTTATAAAGTAATTATCTGTTATCATAATTTTTCATTTTTTAATCTATAATGATATCAAGATAAGACATAAATTATAAATATATAAACCCTAGTAAAATTTAATTTGATATTAAAATCTTTTTAGCTAAATTAACAGTTATTTGAAAATCTATTGAAAAATTGTCGAATCCAATATTTGCTTAATGCATTGTACTTATTATATTTACTCAAATTTATTATTCCTACTCAATTATAATTGTGAAAAAACTTTCAGATCATAAAATTTTAGACAACACATTTCTTATCTGGTTAAAATTACATAATTAATCATAAAAAGTGTACATTAAAAATCAATTTTATTTAATTAATATTGATCTGATAGTTAATTATAAAAAATTAAGATACAAACGTAAGAATTGATTATTATTTATATTTATACTTTTATTAAATGTACCTTTTACTCATTAAAAACCACTTACATTTTTTCTTTGATCTTTATATTATAATGATAAAATTATCTTGGGTTAAAACAGGTTAAAACAATAATTAATATATAGATGCAATTATAAATAAAATCATTATTTTTCAAGGATAGTTGAACTTTTGTGTTTTTTAATTATTAGATAAGAAACACTAAGTTATGAAGATTGAAATATGTTGTAAAATAATTGAATAGAGTTAATATGTATTTTATAACAGTAGCGACTGTAATACAAAATAATAAAATCAAATATAAATATCACAATGAACGAACTGTGCTTTAATAATTTTGCCATTATATATCTATACAGAGGGTACAATATAAAGACAAATATATACAGAAATAAACTAATTGTCATCTATACAGTCTTGATCTTCTGTTCCAGAAAAAAAATGTTTGATTAGAATTGAAACTTGGAAAGATTAATCACAGTTACTTGCAATTTTATTTTATTACTTGTTAAATTATTACAACAAATACAGACAGTTTAATTTTAGGTTGTGGTCTTGTTATTATTTAGTGGTGTCAGTTCCATATAAAAATAAAGTCACCAGGCTGGATGATATAACTTGTAAGCCCCCTGTCTGTGAAAAAATAATTTTTTAACATTTTTTAAAATTTTATAATCATAAATATAGAGAATATTGATGAGACTAATAATTTCTATCAGGATTTAACGATAAATTATAACCTTTTTGTTCTATTATTTTTAGATTAGAATAGTCTGAATTATTTCTTATCGAATTGCATGTCATTCTTTGAAATTGTGTAAATACATATTTTTATGTTTTAATTGCATATTCAACCGTCTTTTACTGCACAATTAACTCCCGAACCTTAAATAATCACTATAACTATACCTTCGTTATAATTAATCGACGTTTTCAGGTTGTTGGAAATTGAAGTCAATACATTAAAACGAGGAGATTCTCAGTTCGAAGCGTTTTTAGACCAACATCGAAGCAAAATCGAACGACAATTAATACGTCTTAAACAATTGAAGGTTAGAAAGTTATTGACTACCTGTTGATTATTAGTTTTTATTTTATATATTATTTTTATTTCCATACAACGATGTATCGATGTACCGTTTTGAAAATACACCGATGCAACTTTATCGATAAATTTTGGCAAATGCGTGTTATTTTTACTTATTTTTACAAATGTTTAAACTTTTTAAATTAATTTTTAACTTAAAAAAAGTCGATATCTTTATTATAAGATCTTGCATAGTAAACTGCTGTGCAATACTAGAATTTTTCCTAACATCGTATAAACCATTCTAAGCCGTACATCCTGAGCACTACTGTAGGTTCAAATAAACGTAGGATTAGCCCATATAATTTAACATTGCTTACAGTTATGAACATAGATGATAGAAACGTGGCCAAAAATACAAAATCAAGTAGAAAATTCAATTTTTGTATTACTGAGAAATTATCAAAGCATGTCTTCTGGAATTCTCAACTACAAATCTGATGTGTAATTGAATTGTTTCCAAGAAATGAAAAGAAATGTTTTATTAGTTATTAAGATTTTTTTCTTATTTTTCTATCACTCTATCATTTTATTTGAAAGTTGGTCTTAATAGATGTCCTTACTAATTAATCACGTATTTACGTATTTATCAACGTGATGTTTTATCGCGAATATTTGGGAATCCATCGAAATGGATTAATTAAAATTGAAATATTATGACACATAAGGCTTTCTGATTTTCCCCACCCAAATCACCACCACCATCTACCCCCGTGGCCTCGAGAAACGGAACGACTGAGACGTACTTTTCCGCCCTCGCGTTGTCACTATTAATTGTTATTGTTGTTTCGTTTCTCTGTCGCAGAACCACTTGAGCGGTACGTTTGGACGCGGGAAAATGAAACGCATGCAAAGCACACCGCTCATCGTGTCCCGACCCGATCGCCAAGACATTACCGCGGCAGCGGCCAACCTGAGCCCGATATTCTCCGTGAACTCGTCCAACGTGGCGGCGACGACGGCGGAACACAGCGGCCTGAGCGCTCTGAGCACGCTGTACGGCGATAAGATGGGCGAGTTCACGCTGAAGACCGGAGAGAACGAATTTTCGCGGTGGCTGGGGCCCAAGATTGCGGCCGTTCCGTGCGCGGCCGCCAAGAGCCAGTTGGACGGCACTTACATCGAAAAGCCGTCGTCCGAAATGCCGGCGACCGACCCGTCAGATAAGGAGAACCGCGCCAAAGTGGCCGGGACCGACAGCGCCCGGCCCGACCACGCCGAGCAACCGGCTGTGTTGTCTGACATTCAGAACAAGCGGAACGCGCCGCCGCGGCCCAGGATTCCCGAGAAGTCGTCCGCCCCGGTCCGCAGGCAGACGTCGTGCGTTTGGCTGAACTCCAGCAGAGAGTACGCCAAGCAGCCGTCCAACGACGACGACAACAAGGATATGGACGAGTTGCACACCGAATTGGACAAAATATTGGACCAGTTACAGAAATTAGTGACCTAGGAACGAAGAGGATAGATTAAGAGACGACGAGTTCATCGTTTTTCCTATTAATTTAAGTTCGCGCACATTTCGTTTTTCTATATATTTATATATGTTTACATTTATATCTGATAGTCAACAACAACATTCCCACATGTAACCATTTAATTTATTAACTCCATAACATTTTTGTAGATATCACATTTTGTTTTAAGAATGAATTGCCATATTTTTAACAAAATATATATTTGTATAAAAAATATATTTATTTATTTATATGAAGTACTCGCAATTACATTTTTCGTACATTTTTATTTTGGTTGTACTTGATTTCATTTTTAAGTTTAACATGTTAGTACGCTTGGGGTGGGTTTTATCACTCATCAAGGGAGGGGCTAATGGAAGGTCAAGAATTTAGTTAGTTGTTTTTTCAATATATATAAAATTTTAAATTACAGAATATATTTTTGAGTCCCTCATAAGTATGTCATTTTTTTCATAATAGTGACAAATTTTAAATAGTTACATTATTGGTATCAATTTTAGTCTGAAACCAAGTGTACACATATAATTAACAAAAAAAATAAGCTATATATTTATAAAAAAATATATAAATAGGTATCATATTCATCCATGACGATTGACGATATTTTATAGTAATTATTAATATATTAATATATCATAATACTTGGCTTTGTAAAATAGTTAGCTTAGTCCCAAGGGGGGAAGGCTAATGCTCCCTTAACCACCCCTTAAACCCGCCCTTGTAATACGCGTTATCCAATGTAAATCAAAACCAAAAACGAAAATAAATGTCACTAAATGATTTTGTGAATATTGCATGAAAACCTGAAGGAAAATCAACTACAGACTATCGGAAGATGTGTACATAGGCCATGATTTAAGTGTTTTGAAACCTGAGGTAATGTAAAAAATGTGGCTCATATGCAGTGTTTATCCAGTTCCATAATAAAAGGAATTTGTTTTTTCCATTTTTCTTAAAAAAAAAAAAAAAGGATTTGTTCCTTTGATAAATCAACGAGTTTCTTTTTAGTTTCAAATAAAATAAAAATTCTTATTTAATCAACAATGTTTTTTATTCATATAATATACTTAACTTTTTAATTATACATTTACATACAAATATTTATTATATAGTTAGTTATTAATTAGGTACTACCAAGTCCCAACCAGCATCATAAATGATTTTATTGTTCAGTGTTCGATGTACAAGCTATTTTCATATTTGTTTAAATACATATATATATATTTTTTCTATGATTTATATACTCATTTCTATAATATATAATATCCATATTATAATTTAAAAAAAAAATATATATTAATAAAGTGACTGATGACTAATGTGACAACATTTTTCTGACACTTTAAATACATCATCTACACTTTTTCCATGAGCTGTGAGGCACTGTTATGGCACGTTAGTTCACGTGACGTGACAATAGTCTGTTCGCAGCTTTAGAAGCGAGAGATATTTTTCTGTTTTTTTTTTTTTTTTGTGAAATGATGCGTTGCCATATAATAACTATAATAGCTCATGAGTAAGGCTCTAAATTAATGCATTAAAACTGCATAAGCATACAAAAGTTCGCACTTCAGTCTAACTAAAATATGCAATGAAAAAAAAATGCATATTCCAAATTTTGAAATAACAAGAAATATCCAAAAGTTTGGTTTCATTTCTTATGATTTTATTCGTTTGTATTTGTTAACCGTGGTCCATATAAAAAATAAAAATAAAACACTATTAAATCACGCGAAATGTTTCTTTATCAAATAATTAACTAAGATTTAATTATCTGACGGCTTCGTTTAATTATGTAGTTACATAAGACGGATTTGGTAAATATTTTAGCTTTTCAATTATTATTATATTATATCTAGACCGAGGATACATACATATCATAAGTACACCGTATAAGTTTGCGAATGTATGAGTAGATCACGGTAGAATTGAACACTGTTGTGGTTTTATCTATTATTTTTACGCCATATTTTAATTATTTATTCTTTATTAAAATAATAAAATGAATTAGTTACAACCGTTTTGAAAAATCATTTTTGATCCCGTCTTCAATGTTATGAAATTGTTAGAAAATATTTAAATTATTACAATATCAAAAATTGATTATTATGTATGACATTATTGTTATTATTAGAATTAAATACCGTACATATTTAACAAAAGATTTCCTACTGAATTAATTGTGATCTTCTTAAAAAATACAAAAAAAAAAAGTAAAAGAAAACTACCATTTGCAACTTGAGAACTATAGGATTTATTAAAATAACTAATATTAACATAACTAACATTTTCCTAGAATTTATGCTCCTATGACTAAAATACATACCTAGGCCATCTTCTATGAGGTGTGGCAATTAAATAACTAGAAATTTGTTTCTAGCTCCTATAGTGCTAACACTGGTATCTTGAAAATTTGTTGACGTAAAGTTCACTAGCTTATACACAAGTCTGCTAAATTTGATATTGATCGGTGTTAAATTTTGTGCTCTACGACTTTTAAAAGTTAGTAGTTAAGTGTCGTGACGTGAAAAATGAACAACGAATTGTCATAAAGTTTCTGCATAAAGTTTCGGCGAAAAACCGGCCGAAAGCTGGGTATATCAATACGACCCTGAGACTCCTCGATAAATTAAACAATCGGTTGAAGAGGGGGGAGCATCCCACGAAAGCCCGGATGTCTCGAAGCCAATTCAAAACGATTCTCATGTGTTTCTTCGATATTAGAGGTATTGTGCATCGAGAATTTCTTCCTAAGGGTCAAACAGTGACACTTCAGTATATTACATTGAAGTTCTTAAACGGTTGTGCAATAGAATGTCTCGTGTGAGGCAGGAATTAGCCAAAAATGGTTGGATCTTTTAACATGACAATGCGCCTGCTCACACATTTTTAAAAGTTATAGTTTTTGAACAATAAGAACATAACAATACTCTCCCGTCGACCATGCAGCCCTGAATACTCCACTGGACTTCTGGCTATTTCCAAAATTGAAGGAACTAATGAACGGACATCACTATGAGGATTTAGAGGACATTTAACATACCGTAACTTCGGTGTTGAAGAGTTTAACTTCTGAAAATTTCCAGAGGTGCTTCCAGAAATGGGAACGTTAGAGATACATTTCTCTAGCATCCTCACCTTCGAATTTTGGTTTCAAAGGGCTTTCGTTTGTGCTACGTTTTTGCAGGATTGTGCTCGAATTTTATCGTTTATGCTACAACCCCTAGCGAGGTACAAGGGTTTTTAATTGGGGGTGCCAGTGAAACGACCGCACCTCCACCTTCAAATTTTGGATTTAAACTAAGGGCTTTCGTTTGTGCTGGATTATGCTCGAATTCCATCATTTTGCTACAACCCCTAGCGATTTTCAAGGGTATTTTAATAGTGTTACCAGGTAAACGACCGCACCTCATTTTCGAACTTTGAAATTGAAATTATGCCATTCATTTGTGCTGCGTTTGTGTTGAATTGTGCACGAATTCCATCATTTGTGCTGCAATACATAGCGAGTTACAAAGGTTTTAATTGGGGGTGCTGGTGGAACAACTGCATCCCCACTTCTGAATTTTTAAATTTAAATTATGATATTCGTTTTTGCTACGTTTATGCTATAACCCCTAACTAACTACAAAAGTTTCTTAGAAAGAGTGCTATGAAGCCATAACGCATTCCAATCTCAACATTTTGGAATTTCGAATGAGCCATTCTATAGAAGTTCGTTACTGATTTCCTGTACCCTTTATTTGAGGTTAATACTCTATTGCTTTCGAAGTTATTTTAAAATTTAGCTAGGGGTGATCGACAAATTCCTGTAGCAATCTTTGGATTAAAATTATTTCCATCAGTTTTGACTTCGTCATTCCTTGTTAGTACTCTATAGTCTATACTCTGTAGTCATTGCTTTATTTCTACAAAAGTTATTTACACTTTTTGGAAGATGTTCTTTAAATCGTGTATAATCTCTAGAGTTTTATAAGAAAATTTTTTGGATTTATAGGATAAATTTATCCATAAGGTCCTTTTTGTCGGAGTTTTTTTCGTAATTTTTAAGTTTAAATAACTAAAATGTATAAAAATTTGGTTTTTTAATATTTATGTAATTGTTATATTAAAATCAAAGTTTTCAGATTAAACGTTTAACCCTGCAAATTATGTAGAGTAAATAAATGGTAGCTATGGATAATTTTTACTTATTCTAAAAAAACCTATATCTATAACTGTTGAACGTTTAAATAAAAATAAAAATGAAAAAATATTTAAAAAATAATAAACGAAATACGAGTTCGAATTCACTCGTTAGGTTCTACGAACTTTCAAACGATAATATTAATTTATACACTGTCCAGAACTGGCCAAACTAATTTCTTTCATTGGGGTGATGATAGATTATATACCTACCTATAATTGACCTATTCTCTTTTAAAGGTCGTTTGATCTGTATTTAATACCGAACACTTCTCCAATACATGCGGATAAGTATTTGATTATTTAAAAGTTACAAAATAAATATTTGCTTCGATTATTTAAAATATATTGAAATGTATCTACAGATCGATTTGTTTACCGTCTTTAGCTACAAATTTTAAACTATTTAAATATTTAATAACCAATGGTTGCTTTTATTGAGAAATAATAATTATATCGTTTTGAATATTAATATAAATATTTAACTTCCAGTACCATGATTTGATTAGAGGATCTAAAATGTTGATTTTGAATTTGGTTCAAAACACCTATTTTTCAGTATTTATTAAGCTCAAACATAATATTGTACAATTAATTTAGTACATTTATGTCTATGATAAGCATACGAATATTGTTTTTACTTCATCTAACAGACATCACTCTTTACCATAGGCGTAAACTGGGGGAGCAATTGCCCTCCTAGAATAAATTAGAAGGGACAGTGCCTCTTCTTATATTTAACATAATAATATTATTATTAAAATAGGTTTGATGCATCTCAGTACAAAAGTGCAAGGACATTTTAACATAATTACTTTTCTTTCAATGACGGGTATTCAGCGTTTACTTTATTCACCAGATCATCTGTCCAAATGTTCTTTTTAGACTGTTCAAGGTCGATGAATAGTAGAATATCACTCTTCGCTTCTAATTCCAATACTTCTTTTGGTGTGATATAGGCTTTCAACTGCGGCAGCGGTACGTGATTGAATATCTTGCAAAGTTTTTATGATAGAATTAAAGGTACAATATATTTGGTAATTTCTTACACTTACTTTAGAGGGGATGCTAACTATTATACTTATTCGGGTTCCAGCAAATATACTAGCAATTAATCCAACTATAAATTATAATACTGCCTATTTAATTATTACTATTTAAAATGTTTAAGTACCTAAATGCTTAAATAAGTTTAACACTTTAGGGAGGGGGTAAAATCCCAAGATAAGCACACCCAAACTGTTTTAGCACCCCTTCAGTTAAATTCTTCATAAATAGATATGAATTAATAATGAAAAATTTTTAACATAATTTGTACCTACTTAAAGAAAGTAATGTTGAATATTTATTTATTTATTTAATTTGGTAAGGAGCTAAGCACCCCCAAGTTTTTTTACCTGGATCCACCACTGCTCCAAACCGTTTTAAGTATGTCCTTGGGCTAGATCTGAAGTAATTTATATATTGGGTGGCTATTGACCAAAAGTTTGTTTAGTGACAATGTGGATGAGAATATAATAGTTTAATACAAATGAATTTAACAAAATTTAGTATTGTTCTTTGTCATTTTTGGTTGTTAAATACCGTAAAGTTCATAGGTACGATATGAAAGTTATTACAGGATTCTCATCTGAATAAATATTATTTTACATTTATTGCAGATTCAAAGAAAACATTAAGAATTTTGAAAACTATATTATATAAAATTATTTCCGGTTCTGGAAGAAAATTTAAGGCATGGACATGCTCTATTGAAATGAGAATATGTATATTTGTCTACCATCTTAGATCAAAAAAACATAAAATTGCACAAAATTGAAGTCTTAAATTTGTAGTTTAATATTATAACATACAGTAACATACTTAAAGATATAGTTTAATAAACATTTAACACAATAAATTTGACATTATCTACAAATAGCCAGCTTATCGCTAATTATTATTATAATATTCTTACATGAAACAGTAAATTGTAATTAAGTACACATAACACTTAACCGCTTTATAATTATATATTTCTTAAATAATATAATAGCACCACATTCAATTCTTAAAAACCAATCTGAATAGCTGCAGAGTTCCTTAAACTTTAAATTTCTAGCAACTGAGCATTGGTTACGAGTTAAACAAAAAAAAAAAAAATTGCCAGGAAAAAAAACAATCAATTATTGAAAAATGGAGAGATAATAATTTACTTCTTAATTTTTCCAAGTTAAATATTAAACAATAATATACATTTTATTTTAAAATAATGTATAAAATAATAATAGGTATTAAAATATTAAAAACATAAGTTATAAAAAATAAGTAAAAACAAAATCTAATAATGAAAGTTTAACATGATTAAAAATACTTCTGAACAAATAAAACAATACTGTGTCTTAATACAACATAAGAAACTTATCTAAATTACTGTTGATAGAACACATCATTTACAGAAGGTAAATTATTTTCGTTTGAAGAAAAATCCATATCTGAGGAATCATTTCCAAATGCCAATAAACTAAATAATTAAAATATAACTATTATAGAGATACATCTTAATACAATTTAATACATAAAACATTCATACAAAAGTATAACACTAAAACAAATACTATAGTCGATTTCACAACACTAGATTACAGCGCGACCTGTGGACAATTCTCTTCAGGGCTTCCGAAAATATTCAAATAAAAGTGCACCGAATTTAAAAAAAATATGACACCTGTTATGTATAAATGTTTAAATAGATGCACATTTGAGAAATAATGGTATGACAAACTTAGTCCACGGATGACGCTGCAATCGAATATCTAGTGTTGTGAAACCGATTATAACACAATATATTTAAATATATATATATATATATATTTTTTTAAAGCAATTAATTAGACAAGTGGTTCTCAACCTGTGTATTGCGGCACACTACTGTGCCGCGAAAAATGTTTGATATTTGAAAATAACGATTGAAAAAACTGTGACAGTAAAAAATGTCAATTAATTGTGCAGATATATATGTAGGTAAACTGTATAGTGTACACTGCACGGTTAAAACCTTACTGAATTTGGTGTAGCCAAAGTTTTTGTTGTGGTCCACTGCATGAGTGTACCACGGAAACTTGTGATGTATAATAATGCCATGAACAAAAGAAGGTTGAGAACCACTGGATTAAACTAAACATTGATTAATACTAAAAATAAATTTTTCAATAATATTATATACATTACCATTTATATAATAAATATGAAAAATACAAGTATTATTTATTAACCCTGCATCAATCTACTATTGTAATACACTGATAGCATTAATAGCATTAATACCTATAAATTACATAATATTGGTAACATTTATGATTTTGGAGTTTTATCTTTTAGTGCAGTTCTGAAATATTAATCGATAAAGTTTAATGTTCTACAACTGTAGATTATGCGACTATTCAGGTATGTAATTTTTAAACTAAATCTCATTTTTTAAACTCATATAATTTGAACTATTTTAAACTTATATTGACATTATACTATAATATACACATATATATGTCAACCATGTAGACAAGTCAAAAATACACATAATTCATGTAAAACTTGCTTTATATGGAGGTATGTAACAATCATCTCAAATATATTTTAAAAACAAACAAAACAGTACATCTTCAGATGAAATGGATATTAGTTAGAACTTAAAATTAAGGCATCACAATAATTGTGAGCATTTATTCGTAATATTTTAATTCTTCTTTAAATTTTAAAGTCTCTTGACATGAATTAAATTAATTAATATTGTACAATTTGATTAAAAATATACATTAAATATGAGGTTTTAATAATTTGATAAAATCTTTCATTTATATTGCATTAACAAATTTTAATTGACAATAGTGATTATTTTATATATATATAGAAGCATGACTACTCAAAATTGAACAATGCAACTGATGCAGGGTTGTTTAAATTAATAATAATAAATAATAAATTTGGTTAATTAAGGTTGTAATAGTTTAACATTTTAAATATGTTTTTAACAATAATCTTTGTTTTTCATACAACATTTTAAAAACAAAAAAAATGCATGGTAATCTAAAATCATTTTAATTGGACTGTCAATGGTGTTTTGAATATAGTCAGAAATAAACATAATCTACATAATATAATGAAAAAAAATTCATATCAATAAAAAAAGTAAAAAATAATAATGAGTAATGACTTAGGAGGAATTGGCTTTCCTTCTTAACTTTATAATTTTAAACTCAGTCATGGTATAGGTATTAAGTAAGTCTATTTATATTATATTAAATTATATTTTTAAGACTATCATTTTTTAATTACATAAATTAACATAAACTGTTATTAAAGGATTATTATATTTTAATGATAATCCAATTACAAACATTCAAATTGGCCCATCCATTTATTAATCACAATTAAGGTATTTTACAATGTTTAAAAAAACCACCATACTTAATTCATGCTTTAAAAAAGGCAAAATAACTAATGAAAAATACTAGTATTTTGGTTCATAATAAACTATTATAAAAAATTGGGGGGGCTAAAAAAATATACATTAACATAAAAAAAAAACTGAATCACAATTATAAATTGATAAGAACTTTTAAACCATCTATTAACTTATTAATTATTTTTTATTTTATCAATTGAATTATAAGATATTTAAATTTTAATAGATTATTGAATATTTTAAAGACTATTTTAATTTAATTTATAAAAATATTCTAATCATAATAAAAATTATAATTATGACTTTTGCATTAATAAGCTTTACATACATTTTTGAAATACTAATGAATTTTAAGTTTACTTGATAATTATAAATATTTTATTTTAATTAAGTTGACGTATTTTTATGGTCATTAAATAACTCTGCCTAGTAAGAATATTTTATGATATTAAAATTATAAATTAAGTATATAAAAATAAATATAAATTAGAAACATGAAACTAATTCGTCCAATGTATACTAAGATTTACTTTTAATAAATTAAATCCAAAACTATTGAGCATAACAATTAATTAACAGTATATTTCTTACGTTGTCATTGGTTCACTAAATACTGATGAAGTTTTTCTATTGATACAATTCTCTGGGCTATTAACATAACACATATGACTTTGAGGGGTATTTGGATTGCTATTTGTTGAGGATCCATCCAATCCAGGAACACGAGTTACCAATAATGGCTTTACATACCCATTGTTAGGACCAGATGACCCAATATCTACAATATAAAACTATCTGTTAAGTAATTATAATTTTATTATTAAATATTATAATAAAACAAATATTTTACACTTTAATGAATATTAATTTTAAATACAGAATATTAAAAATATATGAATACTTGGTGTTGGTGTGTAGTACTTTCCAAATGCTTGATTTTTATCAATATCAGGATATAGCTTTGTAAGATATGTCAAGTCTAATAGTCTATCAGCCAAGTTTCGAATTGATAAATCTTTTGCTGAGAAAGGATGTAAACTATAAGTTTCACAATGATTAGCTGAAAGAAACCATTAAAAAACATTTAACATTATATTTATAACTTAATCAATAGAACTTACAAGCAGTCCAAGCAACAGTAAGTCCACCTAGTTCTGAATCTGAAAATCGTAACAAAAAAGTACCAGTTGCATATCTTGTCAACAATTCTTCTGCATCAGATTTCCTTATAAACCCCATTATTGCTCTATAGTATTCAATTTATGAAATCAGTTTGATGATTAGTAATAGATATTTTTGTATAATACCCATCAGTCCAAGGTCCTTTTAAATGTTCTTTTGTTAACTTCATAACTGCATAAAACCAATCCCAAAATGAAAAATTTCTCTGCGGTAATAGTTCTTTACAGAATAGAGACCATGATAAAATCATATGGTTAAAATCCATATTTTGCATTCTAAAAATAAAATAAAATAGTGAAGTAGTTCAAATAAAACAATTTTACTATATGAGTCATAGTTATTTTATTAACCTGAAGACCTTTTCAGCTAAAAATATTAAGCTTTCATCTGAAAGACCACGACCAGTAACTGCTGAAAATTTCATACTTAGAGCTGTAGCCACATTAGTCCATGGGACCTTATCTGGAACTTTAAATGGTATACGACCAGGTTCAGCAAAGGCATTATCCCATGTCACAGTAGCCCACGCATGAGCTTCTTGATTTCCATGCACAATAACTACGACTGGTAATGATAAATTCCAAACCTAAAATGTATATACATATTTTCAAACAATGATAGAAAAACATTTTAAACAATAGTACCTACTTTATATACATTTTATTTAACAATAGGATGTTTTACATGAAAAACAAAGAATATTTTAATATACATATATCTTACCTCAAATTGAAGCTCATTGCCAATGCAAAACTTAGAAGAAAATAAAATTGAGAACTTTTCATCCATAACAGAATCTGTTCCTTTTTTATCCGCACGCTTAATTTTTTTTAGTTGCATATTACTATTTAATTTGAAATAAAGATAATTTTACTAAGCTTATTAAATAATAATAAATTTCTAGTTACCGAAAATAAGCAGATAATTGTCTTAAGTCATGTCTATACTCCATTTTTCCAGTACAATTTAATAATTCACCACATGATTCACGATCTGGCTTATTTCTTCCAATAATTTGGTTAGCTTGAGATTCATTGACTATAGATACTTTAACCTAGTATAGACCATTTTCATATAATAAATATAATTAAAGTAAGCTTTTATTTGAAACAAGTCTACATGCCATTTATCTAATATGTTTTTCTTTTATTTTATTAAATAAACTTTATTTGCAATCCATAAAAACAAGCATAATAAGTAAATGAGATGATAATAAAATAAAATAGCTTGATTAACACGAGGGAAGGATCCCATTCAGAAATAGTAATTCCTATATTAAACCAAAACCTAAATATAATTTATCTGATAAGAAAATAAATTCAAGATCAAGGATAAGTGTCATGGCTTTCAGGAGTCTAAATTAATAAGAAGGAAGCATATTTTAATTTAGACTAGTTAAGATTAATATACTAATGACATTATAATATTTTTAGTAATTTATCTACCCCAGATAACAGATTAAATCTATAATGATAATAATTGTTTGTTTTAATAGTAGGTGACTAAAAGTGAAAGTGAAGAATAAATCATTAAAAATACTTATGAATAGATTATCAGAGTTTAACTTACAAAACTTTAAAACTGAAGTGCATATTTTGGTAAATGTATATTACAATAAATTTAATGTTATACTTTGAAATTCAATAAATCAGAATAATATCTTACTGGCTGAAAACAAAGTACTTCTAAAAGTCTTAAAGAAATACTACCTTTAATAATGATAATTATAATAAAATATTTATAGGTATGGAATTTCTACATCATTGAGCATTAATCATGGATTTATAGCTAAATAAAAATGTATAAATATACTGAAATGTTAAATACCATGTTCATTTATTTTTAAGTAAACAATAAATCATCCAGTTTTACTTGAACCAAGATGTACTAGTATTAATAAAACTTAAATTGTAACTATCAGTAATTTATTACATAGGCATCGGTATAATATAAACATAATATCTTTAACTGTGAAATGTAGAAACATTAGTGAAAATTAAGTTCGTATCTGATGTAATGATAAACCTAAATAAAAATACCGAGCTATAACAAATACATTACAGTGCATGACATTAAAATTTTAAAAATTTTTATTAAAAAAAAAGTCATACCATAGGTGATGTCAATTGAATGTTGAGTTTACCTCCAATTAATAAACGTACTTCAGCTACAAATCTTGTATTAGTTTTCAACACTTGAGGAGGTTGAGTTATTATAATAAAAGTACTAGAATATAAAAATATAAATTATCCTTAAGAGTAAACAATTAAGACAACATAAATAAGTAAATGTTTATAAACCTTGCTATTAATGATGAAAGATACTGAACAGTCATCTCAAGGAGTATATTAATAATTTCACTTGACTGTTGTAGTTCAAAATAACGTACATAGAAACTCAAGGTGCTTCTAAAATTTTCAGCTTCTTTAATGTGCGAACGAGTTATCCATATTAAATCACATAATTTTTCGCACCTGGTAAAAAACAAAAAATTAAATAATCAATCAAATTAAACCAATATATTGGCATAATTCTAAGGATACCATTTTTGTATGGAGACTATATCTGTCTTATGATTGTATCCATTTCCAACCAACTGCTGTTCGCGTTTCCATTGGACCAACACCTTATCGATGACATAAGCTTGTATCGGGCTTATCATATTTAATGATTCATTGAGTTTGTTGATGTAAGCACAAATGGAGCTCTTGAGGTTGTAGGACTTGGCTCTCAACTGTTGCTCGAACGATTCCATTTCCAGTTTCAATTTACGCACGACTTCCGGCTGAGTCCCGGCAACACTGCTGACCATTTCTTGGACCTGTTGCAAGTTTTCTAGAACGGCAAAGGATCGAACGTGATACGCGTATTAATACAACAACGAGCAGGTGGATAAAAAAAAAGGTGTATTACAATAATTATTGTTTGCGACTTACGAGCGCATTTGGCACACTGAGAGTATAACGCGCCGAACGATTCCACATCAGATTGGATGGTCAGGCGCATTTTGTCCGTGTGCGCAACGTGGTTGCCGACGAACTCGATCTGTTGCGCGACCTCAACATTGTCCATCAAACCTTGGGGTGATCCGACGCCGGAACTCATCATCGTGGCATCGGCGGCCAATAACGGAAAAGATTCAAATCGATGAATGGCGACGACGAGATCGACCGGTACGGAGAAAGTAACGATCGCACGAGTGATGGGCGAACGGAGAGCCAACGGGATTAGACACGAGCTAACCTGTTACAGGGTAACAGGTACTGCGCCACGGCGGTCACGGACGTCGGGTACCGTCGTGCTCGTCCGCCGACGACCGACATGACGGCAACGTCGCAATTCTACCAAATGCAGTGTGAGCGGCGTTGCGTTTTCCCGGGTCCACACTGTTCTCGGTGCGCACTGCGTTTCCGGTTCGGACGGCGGAAACCTCACGGAGCTTTCTCGTTTCGTCACGTGGTCGCGTCCGAAAGCTGTACGACAATAATTGTTTTCGGACCATTCGCTACCGCGGCCATGAGAACCAATCGTATTTCACACCGCTCGATACCGTGAACGGATCTACGGATCAACGAAGTTCAGACGATATCGCCAGTGTAAATTGAACGAAAAAATCGCATTTACCACGTTTAATTATGATCGTACAACTTAGACAAGGTCCGGTTTATTATTATGATAACCAATTATTTTTCTGTTAGTTACTGCTGTATGACCACGGTCCTCGAGCGATCGTCTTCTTTTACTATTAGGGCTAGTTCACATGAGAGGCGTTAAACGCGCGTCGACATTGACCGTATGATATATACATAGGTACAAAATATTTTAATAGTTATATTAATTTTTAGTAATAAATATATGTACAACAATGTATATAAAACTTTATTTTAAAAAACAAACAATATGAAACAAAATAATTTATGTCTATATTATATATTTAATTGATTTTATATTTTATATCAAATTATAAAATACAAAATAGTTAGTAATACTTACCATGGAATTTTTTTTCTTTCTTCGGTGTCACTTGGGTCACTAAAAATTAGAACAATTTCTTCCCAGGCCATTCTTTTATTGATTTTATTTGAATATTCACTACTTGTCATATCCCAAATTGGGGGTCTTTTTTCAATTTCGTCAATGAATAAATCAGTATCAAATTCCTCACTATCCATTTTTGATTTTTTAGAAAACTTTTTCGAAAAAACAAATGAAAATATCGAAAAACAAGAACCTATCGCTTCAAAACGCGCGTTGCAACTGAACACGTCAATGCAAAACTATACAATGTTCAAACGCGCGTCAACTTACGCTGACGCGCGTTGACAGGTTTTTTGCGTTGTCGCTGCGTTACCATGTATACAGTTAATAGCTATTAATAGTTATTGTAAACGCGCGTTTAACGCCTCTAATGTGAACTAGCCCGTACGTGTGTTAGTAGCCGTCACGAAGGGGACGAAAAGCCCAAAGCCCTTAGTATTATGAATTTAGGGGCGTCGTAGAAATTAATAATGTTTATATTGTTGTATTTTAAATAGGTATTGTACTTGAAATGAGTACCTATCAAATTGTATATTATACCTACACAGCCGCGAATACAAGAGGGCCTCTGGGAGCTGGAGCCCCCCTCTCTTAGACATCAGGTAGAACCATATCGGACGTTGGTACTTAAAATTTTTAAAAAAATAGACGTAGGAAAGACCGTACAAACGGTACGCCCAACAAATTATGGCAGTAACCAATTTTATCCTAAAAATTTACCCTCCTTTTTTCATTTTTAGATCAGCATCTGTACCTATACTATTAAATATGAAATTATGTGAATAATGTATAAATATTACCGAAGGACAGAAAATATTAATGTTAATAATACTATGGACAATAATAATTATATGATGTGCCTATTGTAACTGTTAAAAATTGTACCTACATATATACCTATATACCTATTTAAATTATAAATATTTTATATTTTAAATTTTTCTTTTTTTATTTACTTTTTAAGCTGTGGAAGAAATGTGGTACTACATGATTTTTATAATTAAAACCAAATAATGATTATAATCTAATTATAATATACTCAAATTTATGTATTTGACCTAATGAAAATACATCAAGTTTCGTTCCACAACCCATGTATACTTTTGATAAAATAAGTAATTTTTGGAACTCGAACATTGTATTAATTCTTCAAAATTATCAATGTTAATTTTGAGTTTCTCCATCTTGTCATACATAATATCCTCAAAAAAAAAAAACCTAACGGTGAAAAAAGGCCAAGTTCCAAACTCCCTCCCAAAAAAGTCGGCCTATCAAAGTAGTGAAATCTACATTATGGCCAAGTCTGGTATTTTTTAATTCATAACCTCACTGCACTCCTACATTAAAGAGCAACACTCCTCTTTTATTTGTATTGTTTAACACTTGGCCAGTTTCTGAATGAAGCACAAACTAGACTTGGCGGCAATGTAGATACCACTACCTACTATGATTCGCTGTCTTTTTAGAAGAAATCGAAACCTTTTTTTTTTTTATGAGTTCTCTTCTCCCCATCACCCACGTAATTCATAAATGAGTACATTCGATAATAATGTTTTATGCCTCATTCAAAAACTGACCAAGTGTTAAACAATACAAATAAAAGACGAGTGTTGCTCTTTAATGTAGTTCAGTGAGGTTATAAATTAAAAAATACCAGACTTGGCCATAATGTAAATTTCACTACTTTAATAGCCAGACTTTTTAGGGAGGGAGTTTGGAACTTGGCCTTTTTTCACCATTAGGTGTTTTTTTTTGGGGTTATCATTTATTTTTGCGGGCTTCAGCATCGTGGACGACGTGTTATTATTATTATTTTTTAAATTTTTTATTTATATGATTTTAGATTTTCTCTTATAAGACGGTTTAGGTTTCTGTTGAGGAGCTGAGAAATTGGACTCTTGAGCGTTGTCAATACCAGGCAATGATAGCCAAGTACGGTCTTTTATTTTTTTGTCATCGATACTTTTTAGATAAAATATCTGTTTTCTGGCTTATACAAAGTTTTTAGATGGTTGTATTCAACAAAAGCACTATCCTAGGCTTTCACCTGACAGGGATCAAAATTAATTAAGTGAACTCCCTGGAGTCACTTTGCCCTAGAGAGCGCCACGTATGCTTAACCACACGAGAATGTTGAGTTGCCAACATCTAACAAAGCAAACTTAATCCCCGACTTTTATGGATAGTAATGGTATATGCTAAGTAAATGGAGAATTTATATCGGTGCACATAAGCTCGGGTGATGATTTCGAATTTAACTAATAATTTCATTCAATTCTTAAGAGCATTCATCTTTTCATGAATATTTTCTTATGACGTTACTACATAAAATTATCGTTCGCAAACCGACGAATATTATTAAAATATTCTGTATTTGTATAATTATATTATATTTTGTATTTCAATAAAATAAATGTACGAAACATTATTATGTATTATAGATATATATAAGTCAACTACAAACAATTTCTTATTACTATATTGTAACACTGTTTGAAAGTAAACGTTTATGTGTGCTTAGCGCGCCACTTCATACGATTAGAAATACACTCTCTGAAGCGGCATTCATTTTGAAAAAAATTCAATTTTTAGATTTTTCCCTTTAGTTAAAGTGTAAAATCTCCCTTAGTGCCAAATTTCACGTTTTTACCTATACGGGAAGTGTCTTATAATTTTGTTGATCAGTAAGTGAGTGATTGAGTGAGTCAGTAACAATATTGCTAATTTTGAATTCCTGCCATTATGAAATGGCACAATATTAAAGGCTCATTTTCTGACAGCGTCCTAAGCTACTAGAGTTTAATCTGTGTTTTAAATTTCAAAAGTTTATCTTAAGAGGAAACAGAGATATACGGGTTAGAAAAACTGGGCGAATTGGTTCGTGTAAAGATACACAGGTATTGCTGAAACTTGGCCGGCGCACTGCCGTGCGCTCAGATATAGTGTTTTATCCATAAATATGTTGCAGTAGTGCTTACAAATAGAAAAATATGTTCAAATCAAAAAAAAAAAAAAAAACAATACACCAATGGTAGCAACTTGTGTTTAATTATGGTAGGTATAATTGTAAATACCTATTAAATAATTATTTTAATAGCTACAAATCGTTTATAAACCAGTTCTAATAATTGATTTTGCGATAAGGTACACCCATTATCGGATTCGAAGATGTCACTAAATTATTATTTGGAAAAACTAATTAACAATGTTTTCCAAATATTTGTAAAAATGTACAATTTTAATTAGTGTTAAAATCTAAAATTATCAGTGGGTATTTATTAAGTTAACCTCCTAGCGGTCGCGCTAGGGGTATTTACACCGCACCATTAAGAAAAACCGTTTTATTTAATTATACTTATCGATAAGATTAGTATGACCCCCTGCTATTCCTACACCTTGTATTTATAAACATAATGCAATAGTCATGCATTTTGTCTTTACACGTAGTCACCAGTAAGTAGTCACAAAGTGTTAGTGAACGTTATTGTATGTCAATGCGGCGTAAACACCGCGGCGCGACTAAAATTGTTTTTCATCGATAATCGATAAATTTTTTTTAATATGCACAATATTATGTTAAAATAAAGTTATTTGATAAATTGAACTGTTTTTAAATGTCATTGAAAATTATTCCTTACGTGTATTATACAAAATATAAGATAACAGTTCTAAGTAAAATTATTTGCACTAAATAAATTCACAAGGTACAATAAATACAAACAGTTATAAATACTTTTATATTAATGAATTTATGAAATTACTTAGCCAATTTTTGATATCACAACTTTTGTAATTTAAGTGCTTATTTTTACTTAGCGATGTTTTTACACGGAGTGTTTTTGATGAGATATAGATAATTGAATTGATTCGAAAAATTAAATTTCTTGAATATTAAAGAATATAGTGTGCCGATTAATCTACTATTTTGAATTTATTCATAGTAGTTGCATTATTATTAGGGCTCGGATGTTTATAAGGCATATCTTTTTCGCGCAACCAGAATTATACCATAATATAATATAAATTCGATTTATGAGATCTTGATTGCAAATATGCAAACTTATTTTTCATAATTTGCATAATTGACATTTTTGAGCATATATGTGCATTTATCGATTTTTCTAGGTTAAATAGCATATGTTGTATAAATTATAAGTATAATATTAAAAATTGTTCATATTAATATAAATTATCAATCATTACCGTTAATTATGTTATTTTCAGTCTGCAAAAACTTCTTGTCGGATCGTCGAAGGTCCTTCAAGTTTGAAAATATCAGCAAAATTATTGTTGTACGGTATAATCCTGATACTTAAAATGCTTAACCTATGTAAAATTTAACCTAAATAGATCGAAAAATAATAAATATTTTTTTTCGTGTTTATTAGTTGTATTTTTCGTAATACAGAAATTTTAAATACACATTCAAAAGAGTATATACATTTTTTTAATTAATATTAACTATTTTTTTTTGCATACATTTGTTGAAAAAATAGGTATATTTAAAACATTTTATGGCATATAATTGCATATTATGACATTTTATAATGCGTATTTTTATGAAATTTTGGTCATTAACATCCGAGCTCTATTTTACTCTACTACTCTATATTACACTAACCTACATCATATCTGGTGTCCTTGTATATTATTTT